TTTCTTTCTTTCTTTCTTTCTTTCTTTCTTTCTTTCTTTCTTTCTTTTCTTTCTTTCTTTCTTTCTTTCTTTCTTTCTTTCTTTCTTTCTTTCTTTCTTTCTTTCTGTCTGTGAGGTAATTGGGGTTAAGTCACTTGCCCAGAGTCACACAGCTAGTGATAAGAGTTTATGAACGCCTTTTTTTGTTTGTTTTTTGGTGAGGCAGTAGGGGTTCAGTGACTTGCCCAGGGTTACGCAGCTAGTAAGTGTTATGTGTCTGAGACTGGATTTGAACTCAGGTCCTCCTGACTCCAAGGCCAGAGCTCTATCCATTACGCCACTTAGCTGCCCCTCTGCTTGTCATTTCTTATAGCACAACAATATGCTATTACAATAACATACTACAACTTGTTCAGCCATTCCCCAGTTGATGGGCATCCTCTAAATTTCCAATTTTTTGCCACCACTAGAAGAGCTGCTATTAATATTTTTGTACATATAGGTCCTTTTCTTTTTTGTTTTTTTGTCTCTTTGGGATACAGATCTAATAGTGGTATTGCTTGGTCAAAGAGTATACATGGTTTTCTAGCCCTTTAGGTATACTTCCAAATTGCTCTACAGAATAGTTGAATCAGTATACCACTTCACCAACAGTATCTCAATTCTCCAACATGCCCCCCCAACATTTGTCATTTTCCTTTTCTGTCACATTAACCAATCTGAAAGGTATGGGATGGTAGTCCAGAGTTGTTTTAATTTGCATTTCTTTAATCAATAGTTATTTAGAGCATTTTTCATATGACTATAGGTAGTTTTGATTGCATCATCTGGAAACTGCCTGTTCATATCCTTTGACCATATGTCAGTTAAGGAATGGCTCTTATTTCTATAAATTTGACTCAGTTCTCTGCATATTTGAGAAGTGAGGTCTTTATCAGAGAATCTTGCTGGAAATTTTTTTCACAGTTATGATTATTAACCATGTATTTCCCTCCATCCTATTTTGCCCATTTATCCTACTCACTCTTTCCTTTCACCCTATCTACGCTCAAAAGTTTTGCTTTTGACTTTTTCCTTCTCCAACCCACCTTCCCTTCTGTCAGGCCACCCTCCCCCCCATCCTTCTCTTTTCCCCTTTTCCTCATACTTTCCTATATGGTAAGATAGATTTCTATACCCAGTTAAGTGTGTATATTATTCTCTCTCGTTGAGCCAATTCTGATGAGAATAAGGTTCACATGCTTTCCACTTCCACTTCCCCATCTTCTCCTCCACTGTAAAAGCTCTTTCACACCTTTTTGTCAATTTACCCCATTCTATTTCTCCCTTTCTTCTTCTCCCAATGCATTCTCTTTCTCACTCCTTAATTTTTTTTTTTAGATTATCATCCCATCATATTAAACTCACACCTATGCCATCTATGTATACTTCTAACTGCCATAATAATGAGAGTTTTAGGAGTTACAAGTATCACTTTCTCATGTAGGAATGTAAACAGTTTAACCTTATTGAATCCCTTATGATTTCTCTTTCCTGCTTGCCTCTTCATGCTTCTCTTGAGTCTTGTATTTGAATGACAAATTTTCTATTCAACTCTGGCCTTTTCATCAGGAATGCTTGAATGTCCTCTATTTCATTGAATGTCCATTTTTTTCCCTTGAAGGATCATACTCAGTTTTGTGGAGTAGGTGATTCTTGGTTGTAATCCTAGATCTTTTGCCCTCTGGAATATCATATTCCAAGCCCTGTGATCCCTTAATGTAGAAACTACTAAATCTTGTGTAATCCTGACTGTGGCTCCACAATACTTGAATTGTTTCTTTTTGGCTGATCGCAATATTTTCTTTTTGACCTGGGATTTTTGGAATTTAGCTATCATATTCCTGGGAGTTTTCATTTTGGGATCTCTTTCAGGAGGGGTTCAGTGGATTCTTTCAATTTCTATCTTACCTTCTGGTTTTAGAATATCAGGGCAATTTAGGTTCCTTTTTTGAGCATGGTTTTCAGGTAGTCAAATAATTATTTTAAGAAGTTCTTTTCTTCAGTGAATTTTTGCACATCTTTTTTTCCCTTTGGCCAATTCTGCTTTTCAAGGCACACTTCTTTTCACTGGATTTTTGTGCCACTTTTATCATTTGGCCTATTCTGTTTTTTAAGGTATTATTTTCTTCAGGTTTGTTTTTTTGTGTGTATGTGTACCTCCTTTACCAAACTGTTGACTTTTTTTTCATGATTTTCTTGCATCACTTTCACTTCTCTTCCCAATTTTCCCTCTACCTCTCTTACTTGATTTTTAAAATCTTTTTTGAGCTCTTCCATGGCCTGAGACCAATTCATATTTTCCTTTGAGGCTTTAGATGTAGCCGTTTTGGCTTTGTTGTGCTTTTCTGAGCTTGTGTTTTGATCTTCCTTGTCACCATAGTAATTTTCTATTGTCAGGATCTTTTTCTGCTGTTTGCTCATTTTTCAGCCTATTTTTTCATGTTTAACTCTATGCTAAAGTGGGGCTCTACTTCTGAAGTGGAGGGGGCAGTGTCCCAAGCTTCAGGTTTTTTGTGCAGCTGTTTTCTGAAATAATCTGTAAGTTTTCAGTTCTTCCAAGGTGTTTATTACTTTCCTGGCCTGTACTGTGGTTTGTGCACAATCACAAGCACTCTTTTCCACCCTGGAACTGTGACCAGGGTCCCAGATCCCCTACAGCCACCAGCTCTGACGTGCTATTGCCCCTCCTCACCCTGGGACTGTGACCCAGATCCAAGTATGGGCATTGCAACAGAGTCCTGCCCCTGGTGCCAGTAAAGGGACCCCTTTAATCTTCTTCTGACCAGAGGTCCGACCCCTTTACCATCTGTGGGCTAAGAGGTCTAGAAACCACTAATGCCACCAATGATTCAGTCAACCCCAAGGCTTACTGCTAGTTTGCTGGGGCCCGGTCTGGATTGAGCTCTGTTCTCACTGTGGTGCAACAGACCTTTCCTGTCAACCTTCTAAGTTACCTTGGGTTGGAAAATTGTTTTACCCTGCCCTTTTGTTAGTTCTGCCGCTCCAGAATTTGTTTTGGAACATTATCTAAAATTGTTGGGAGGGGTTTGGGGAGCACTCAGGTGAGTCCCTGCCTTTCCTCCATCATCTTGGCTCCCATCAAAGCTTTCCAACCATGAGATGGGCTCCCTCCTGAGATGGTTTACACACAGACTAGAAAAACCCACTGTTCCAGACTTATTTCACAGCACTCCTCTCACCAGGTCTACATTCTGAGCAAACTGGCCCATTGATTGTTCCCCAGACGCAGCATTCCATCTCTCCTCTCCATGTTAACGTAGATGTTGTTTGCTCTACATGCCTGCAATCCTAAGACGGATGTGGTGACCCTGGACCTGTGAGGGAGGCCCGCGGGGCAGGCGGTGATGACCTCGGCTGTCTTTTGTGCCTGGCCCTGGCGGTTCCTGCTCTAGTTAAGTGGACTGGGTCCTGCTCGTAGGGCCGATCGTTTGGCGGTGGTCCCGATGGGTGGTGAGTCTGTATGTGCCAGGCCCCATCGCGTGATGTGGCTGGCCAGGCTCTCCTCCTTGCTGCTGCCTTCCCGCGATGCCTCCCCACGGTCAGGCTTGCCCATTGTCGATGGGCGGTCGGCTCCCAGGTGCCCTGCTTTCCCCTTGGTGCGGAAGGCCGTGCTCTCTGCGATGCAGTGCGGGGAAGTGAGAGGGAAGCCTGCCATGGTTTGGCAAGGGCGCGTGCTGCCATTCCAAGTTCTCGCCGGGCTGCTCCCCCACTGCCGCGGCCGTGCAGGTCAGGTTTGGGCTGAGTGCCCGTCCCTCTTTCTCGGATCCTCTGGTTCTATGGCTAAGGTGTGTTTCTGCAAGGCACTGAGGGAGCTCATGTGGCAGTGGAGGGCTTCTCCGCTGGCTCCGGCTGCTTTCCTGGTTGTGCCATTGCCTCCACCCTTACCGTGGCGTGGCTGCCCATCGCCCGCCAGAGAGGAAGAGTTGGGGGGGCACGTATTTTGGGTGCTTCTATTTGCCTGGCCATTGCTCTCAGGCTTATTCACTAGATCATTAATCTGCTCCTACTATGATAGATGATTAATTAGACCCCTATTCGTTCAAATCAGTATTAATCAGTTGCATATGATTCTATGTGCAGTACCTCCCTGGGATCAGAGCTCTGACCTTTCTTTCTCCACTCTCTCCCTGAAGCCCCAGTGTGGCTGCACTGACACTCACTGCACCTTCCCCATGCCCACCCTGCCCATTTCTAGATCTTCAGCTACTGCAGAATAGTGTAGACTGTCAGCTGAGAATCTGACGGCTCACCTTGTCAAACTTGAAGAGGCTCTCAAGGAACTTGCCTGGGTCCTGAAGCAGCCCCTTGCCAGGCTCCCAGTAGTCATCGACCTTTGAGCCTGGCTTTTCTCCAGGCACCTTTTTGGGCTTAATCCCCTTCATGATGCAGACAGCTTCTATGACCAATTTCACTCCTGGCGGTGGTCGCTGCATTGCACGAACCTGGAGTGGGAGGGGAAGTGGAGGTAGATGAGAAAGAAAGCATGTGAAGATAAGGCATCACTTTGTATTTTTTCATGTGATTATTACATTCTTTTAAATTTTATTATATTTTTTCAGTTAAGAAGCATTTATTTTCTCTCCCCCTCCCCCATCCATTTAAAAGATTTTAAAAATTAAAAAATAAAATAAAACCCAAACCCTTGTAACAAATATGCATATTTGAACAAAACAAATCCCCACATTGGCCTTGTCCAAAATTTATCTCATTCTGCACCTCCATCTGTATCACTCCTCTGTCAGTAGATGGGTACCATTATTTCCTCATAAGTCCTGTGGAATCATGGTTGGTAATTTAATTGATCAGTTTATCTAAATCTTTCATAGTTATTTGTCTTTATAATATTTTTTGATATTACAGAAATTGTTCTCCTGGTTCTGCTCACTTCACTCTTACTCAGTTCACACAAATCTTCTCAGCTTTCTCTGAAACCCTCCTTTTTGTCATGTCTTACAGAACTACAATATTACACTGAATTCATATCATACTCATTACATTCTATCTGGTTCATTAGGCAGTGGTCTTATCCCTGTTAAAGGACAAAAAGTACCTACCCTGCTTCTTCTGAGCAGTATTGCACCCAGCCCTACACACAGATCAAGCTCATGCGATAAACTGAACTGAGCTTAAGGAGGAGAGAGAAGAATAGCTGCCTCACAGAGTGGGAGGAGGGAGGAAGAAGGAGCAGCTGCCCCATAGCTATAGCTTTTCCTTGACCTCCTGGACACTGCACCATTTTCCCAGGCATGGCATGAGTGGGTTGTGCCTGAGCCAGAGATACTTTACAGGCCTGGTCCTCCCCACTAGTGACCCACCTCTGAAGGGGGATCTATCCACAAATGTGTCCCCCTGAAGCCTAGAAGAACAGCAAGGTGGAGTGGGGAAACAGCCCTGTCCTGGGAGTGAGAAGACCTGTCTCATTTCTGCCAGTGACTTACTATGGGCTCTCTTTTCTGGGCTTCTTCTCTGGGAATGTGAAGGGATTGAATAAGATGACCTCGAGGGTTCCCTCCAGTCCTTATCATTAGAAACACTTTCCTAGATTAGACCAAAAGGCCAGGTGTGGTCACCAAGAGGTCCCTGCAAGCCCCTCTTAGCCCTTTCCTAGGTTAGACCAAAAAGCCAGCTGTGGTCTCCAAGAGATCCCTGAAAGCCCCCCTCCCAGCCCTTTTCCGGATTAGACCAAAAGGTCAGCTGTGGTCTCCAAGAGATCCCTGCAGGCCCCTCCCAGCTCTTTCCTGGATTAGACCAAAAGGTCAGCTGTGGTCTCCAAGAGGTCCCTGCAAGCCCTCCCAGCCCTTTCCTAGGTTAGACCAAAAGGCCACCTGTGGTCTCTAAGAGATCCCTGCAAACCCCTCCCAACTCTTTCCTAGGTTAGACCAAAAGGCCAGCTGTGGTCTCCAAGAGATCCCTGAAAGCCCCTCCCAGCCCTTTCCTAGATTAGACCAAAAGGTCAGCTGTGGTCTCCAAGAGATCCCTGCAGGCCCCTCCCAGCTCTTTCCTAGATTAGACCAAAAGGTCAGCTGTGGTCTCCAAGAGGTCCCTGCAAGCCCCTCTTAGCCCTTTCCTAGGTTAGACCAAAAGGTCAGCTGTGGTCTCCAAGAGGTCCCTGCAAGCCTCTCCTAGTTCTTTCCTAGATTAGACCAAAAGGCCACCTGTGGTCTCCAAGAGGTCCCTGCAAGCCCCTCTTAGCCCTTTCCTAGATTAGACCAAAAGGTCAGCTGTGGTCTCCACGAGGACCCTGCAAGCCCCTCTTAGCCCTTTCCTAGATTAGACCAAAAGGCCAGCTGTGGTCTCCGAGAGATCCCTGCAAGCCCCTCTTAGCCCTTTCCTAGATTAGACCAAAAGGCCAGCTGTGGTCTCCAAGAGGTCCCTGCAAGCCCCTCTTAGCCCTTTCTTAGATTAGACCAAAAGGCCAGCTGTGGTCTCCAAGAGGTCCCTGCAAGCCTCTCCTAGCTCTTTCCTAGATTAGACTAAAAGGCCAGCTGTGGTCACCAAGAGGTTCCTGCAGGCCCCTCTTAGCTCTTTCCTAGGTTAGACCAAAAGGCCAGCTGTGGTCTCCATGAGGTCCCTGCAAGCCCCTCCTAGCCCTTTCCTAGGTTAGACCAAAAGGTCAGCTGTGGTCTCCAAGAGATCCCTGCAGGCCCCTCCTAGCCCTGCAGGCCCCTCCTAGCCCTTTGCCCTGCCTACAATATCTGCAGTGAATTGGTCAGATAAGTGGGCATGAGAGCTTCGCTGAATCAGTGAGAAAGGATAAAGAATCAGTTTCCTTCTTGACTTGGCCAAGGTTTTCCTTCGCATGGAGAAGGTGAGAGGAGCAGACTCTCAAAGCTGATCCATCACACCCCCAGGGCTCTTATAGGAGTCAAAGGCCTCCTTCAGAGACGTATCTTTGACAAGCTTTTTCTAGAGAGCAAACTCACCTTGGCCTCAGCCTGCTTTGTCCTGGTGTCCAGGTCTGGACCAGAAATCCCCAAGATCGCAGGGGAACCTATTGTAGTGAACCTGAGGCCAGCTTCACTTTGGACCTTGTGCCAATGTCCTTTTCCACTGGTCCCTAGGCCAGGATTATGTTTCTGAGCCTGCTTCACCTTCAACTTAATGAGGCAGCTAGGAGCCCACCATTTAATAAATACTAGAGGACAGGGAGGAGCTGGGGCACCCCGCAGCAAAATGTCTGAGGTTCTGGCTTGGGGCTCCCCCGCCCCTTGGGGCCCTGGGGTTTCAGGGATGGCAAGGCAGCCTGATTTCCCCAAGAGAAGAAGCCAGGCCCAAGAGGCAGCAGGACCAGGTTCTTCTGAAGGGATTCTGAGGAATGGATACGGTGCAGGTCAGGGCCCCAGGAGTATCTCACATCACAGATGCTACAGGAGCCTAGGGGGCTTCCTCCTGCCTCACTCCCCAAGAATTCCTACCCTGCCGGGGGGAGAAGAGCCAGCCTCTTCTCTCTGACATTTGTCCTTGGGCCAGAGGCCACCGGCTGACAGATCCAGGGCGGAAGGGAGAAGCCCACCCTCACCTCAGTCACGTCGTTCTTGTTAAGGTTCCTCAGGCTAGCCAGGGCAGCATCGAGGGCTGGGAGAGCTTCATCCAGGTCCTTCTGGGCATCATCGGCAATGGCCTGGGCTTTCCTGGCCTTCTCGTTGGCTTTCATCTCCTCTGCCTGCACGGCATTCCGTGTGTCCTCCGCTATAGCTGTGTCAGCCTGCGGAGCAAATGCAGACCCTCAAGGACTGCAGTGGGGCCAGGAGGGTACAGCTGGCACGCCCCCCCGGCAGGGGAATCTCGGATGAGAAAGGGGAGCCAGGGCAGGGAGGTCCTTCCCTCTCCTCTCCCCACCTTTATCTGCTCCATGGTGGCCACGGTGTCTTTGGCAGCTTCTTCCAGCAAGGGGCGCATGATTTCCAGCTCTTCCTGCATCCTGGCCACATCCTCTGAAGTTCGGAGCAGCTGCCCAAGAAAGGACATCTGAGTTAGAGCCAAGCGAGCTGTGGGTTCAGATAGAGAGAGAGAAACGGGACAGTGCTTGGGGCCCAGTGATATCTGGGAACAGATATTGGCATAGAGAAAGGGAGAAGCCCTCGGGGCTTGGCATTAGCTTAGCAAGAACTCAGCTCCTCTGTGGGACAGAAGCCCTGGGCACTGAAATCCTCCCCAGGGGCGGCTTGAGGGCTGGGGTGCTGTGCGAAGCCCCCCAGATAAGCATGCTTTCTGCTGGAAAAGTGCTTCTCCTCACCTAACTGCCTCAGTTCTTAGCGGTTTATACCAAGGACATACATGGTAAAACCAATAGTGAACTGCTGGTGCGCTGGGGAGTGGTACTCCCCGCTACAGCTTCAGGGCCTTAACAGAAGGGTATGATCCCCTTCTTCCTTGGAGGTCTCTGAGAACCAAACTAAAACATACAGGTAGGTCAGATCTCCCCTAGCCTGGGCTGAATCAGGGCCCAGGAAGGTAGGGATACAAGTGGAGAAGGAGGTGATTAAATGACCTCAGAATTGCTCCTCAGGTCTATAACGCTTCCTGGTAGTCTTTGGGCATGGATTCTGTCCTTGGTAGGAGGGTCTGGGTTCTTAAGATTAGGTAAAGATTCTGAGGAAAGGGGCTTAATTGTATATAAACAGATGATTCTGTTCACAATCTTGCTCTAAATTTTATGACATTCACTTTATAAAGAACAGTAATTAGAAAGTATGAGCGATCAAAAGAAATGATGAGGGGTATGATTTCAGAAAACCTGAAAAGACCTGTATGAACTGATGCAAAGTGAAGTGAACAGAACCAGGAAAACACTGTACAATTAATAACAAAATTGTAACGATGATCAACTGTGAAAGACTTAACTGCTTTAATCAATAAAACAATGCAAGACAATTCCAAAAGACTCATGATGAAAAATGCTATCTACCTCCAGAGAGAGAACTGAAGAACTCTGAGTGTAAATCAAAGCATAATTTTTTAAACTTTATTTCTTTTTCTTGCCTATTTTTTATGGCAACATGATTAATAGGGAAATACGTTCTGCATGATTTCATACATATAATTGACATATTGCTTGTCCTCTCAATGGGTAGGGGAGAGTCTAGAGGGAGAGAGGATTTGGAACTCAATTTTTTTTAAATGTTAAAAATAAATAACAATTTTTTTAAATTAATGGCAATTAGAATTAATAAATACTATCCTTAGCTGCTTTAGGAAATGGTTCTGTTTTTATTTATTTATTCATTCATTCATTCATTCATTCATTTATTTACTTACTTGTTTGTTTGTTTGTTCATATATCTATCTATTTATTTATTTATTTGTGTGTTTGTTTGGCAATTGGGGTTAAGTAACTTGCCCAGGGTCACACAGCTAGTAAGTGTCAAGTGTTTGGTCTGAGGCTGGATTTGAACTCAGGTCCTCCTGACTTCAGGGCCAGTGCTCTATCCACTGTGCCACCTAGCTGCCCCCAAAACTGTTCTGTTTTTATAGAAGAAAAAAATCCTGTAATTGAATAGGTTTCCATTTTAAAAAATTTAATTTATTTTTTGGTACACTTTCATGAATAGGCTTCCAACAAAGATTTATTAAAGTTCAACTCTATTAAAGGCACTTTGTGAGGCTGAGGCTTCAAGGACATAACAGTTGCTATCTGTGAGGATGTTATATTCTACTGGGGGATGTAACACATATCTATTGACAAACATTTAGTAAGCTGTGCTAAATGCTAGCGAAGCAAACAAAAGGAACAACAGTCTCAGCTCTCAAGGAATTTACATTTTAACGGAAATCCAATATAAATTCAGAATTTAGACCGCATGACTTAGTGAGGTGACAGGGTGGACAGCATTTGTCTACTACAGGCCAGGAGAGAGTGTGGTACAGTGTGTAGCAGCAAGTCCTACTTCTGATCTCCTGCCTTCATAACTCTTGGCCAGTTCCTTAATCTGGAAGTGCCACAGGCAACTGTCTGAAGCTAAGTTGCAGAAGACTTACTGATCACTTAGACTTAGTGCACAAAGGAACCTCCAGGTGGAGAAACTCCTTCTACCAAGGCAAGTTAGCCCTTTCTCTGCAACTTCCATTCGTAGCGATTTGCTTAGAGCTCTGAGAGCTTAAGCAACTTGACCAACATCACACAGCCACGTCTTTCTGGCTCCAAGGAAGGTACTTGCAGGTGTTTTCTGTCCCTGTATCTCTTTTCTTTTCTCTCCACACTCTCTCCATTGCAATCTCATTCATTCCTATAGCTACAATTACTAACTCTATTCAGAGAAAAGAGCTCACAAATATAGAATGCTTTAAGGTTTATGAAATTCTTTCTTCCAAAAGGCCCGGGATAGAAAACAGAGGGGAGGAGGAGCCAGGACTGTAGCGTAGAGGCAGGAACTCATCTGAACTCTCCCAATATTACCCTCCAAACAACTTTAAAAAATGCTTCAAATTCAACTCTGGAGCAGCAGAGCCAACAAAAGGTTGGGGGGAGACAGTTTTCCAGGCCAAGACAGCCCAGAGCACAGAACAGGCTGTGCCACAGAACCAGTAGCAGGCCTCAGCAGCAGCAGCTTTGGAAGCTCTCAGCCCACAGATGGCAAGGGGGTCAGACAACTGGTCAGAAAGAGATTGCTGATGCCAGGCTCAAGACTCTGTTGTATGGCCCGTATGTGGTTCTGGGTCACAGCTCCAGGTTGAAGAGGAACACAAGCACTTATGACCACAGGTGAACAGGATCCCTGGTGATGGTTCCAAGAAGGAGAAGAGTGCTTGTGGTCACTTACAAGGGAGTGGGGGCCCTTCCATGGTAAAGACCACAGCACAGGCCAGAAGAGCAGTGACCATACTCATCCTGAGATCACACCACCTTGGGAGCACCAAAAACTGATAGACCCCCAGAACTAGCTCTGAAAACAGCAACAAGAAAAACCTCACCCTTGGAACAGTTCCACCTCCACCCTGGGGGCAGAGCCCACTTTAAACATAAAGTTAAAAGTCAAGAAATAGGCTGAAAAATGAGCAAGCAACAACAGCAAAAAGAACCTACTATGGTAACAGGAAGACTAAGACACAAACTCAGAAGACAACAGTGTCAAAATGGCCACAAGCAAAGCCTCAAAGGGGGAACAAATGTGAATTTGACACAAGCTCAACAAAAATTCCTGTAAAAGCTCAAAAGGGATTTAAAATATCAAATAAGGTAGAGGAAAAAATGGGATATGATAATGAGAGTGATGCAAGAAAATTATGAAAAGAAACAACAGCTTGGTAAAAAGAGGAGCAAAAAAATAGTGAAGAAAATAACATCTTCGAAAACAGAATTGGCCAAATGGTAAAAGAAGCACAAAAACCCACTGAAGAATTTCTTAAAAAGCAGAAGAGGCCAGATAGAAAAGGAGGTAAAAAAAAATTTCACTGAAGAAAATAATTCCTTACAAATTAGAATTGGACAGGTGAAAGCTAACAACTCCATGAGACACTAAGAAACAATAAAACAAAGTCAAAAGAATTAAAAAACTGAAGAAAATGTGAAATATCACATTGGGAAAACAACTGACCAAGAAAATAGATCCAGGAGAGATAATTTAAGAATTATTGAACTACTTGAGTCATGATCAAAAAAGAGCCTAGACATCACATTTCAAGAAATTATCAAGGAAAACTGCCCTGATATCCTAGAATCAGAAGGTAAAACAGAAATTGAAGAATCCACTGATTACCTCCTGAAAGAGATCCCAAAATGAAAATTCCCGGGAATATTATAGCCAAATTCCAGAGCTCCCAGGTCAAGGAGAAAATATTGCAAGCAGCTAGAAAGAAACAATTCAAATATCATGGAGCCACAGTCAGGATCACACAAGACGTAGCAGCTTCCATGTTAAAGTAGTGGATGTCTTAGAATGATATTCTGGAAGGCAAAGGAACTAGGAATACAACCAAGAATAACCTAACCAGCAAAATTAAGTATATTTTCCATCGGGGGGAAAAATGGTCATTTAATGAAACAAAGAACTTTCAAGCATTCATGATGAAAAGATCAGAGCTGAATGGAAAAAAACTGACTTTCAAATTCAAAACTCATTAAAAAGGTAAACATGAAAGAGGTATGATAAGGGATTGAACAAGGTGAAATTGTTTACATTCCTATATGGGAAGAGGATATTTATAACTCCTAAGAACTTTATCATTATTAGGGCAATTAGAAGAAGTATACATAGACAGAAGGCATGGATGTCAGTTGACTATGATGGGATGTTTTCAAAAAAATAAAATTAAGTAGTGAGGAGGGATGTACTAGGAGAAAGGGAAAGGGAGATGAAGAATGGAGAAAATTATTTCACATAAAAGAGACATGAAAGGAAAAGCTTTTATACTGGAGGAGGAAATTGGTGTGTGTGTGTGGGGTGGGGGTGACAGGCAATGTTTGAACCTTACTTTTATCAGAATTGGCTCAAAGAGGGAGTAACATATAAACCCAATTGGGTATAGAAATCTATCTTACCCTACAGGGAAGGAGGGAAAGGGGATAAGGGAAGGAGGTGGGACTGACAGAAGGGAGAGTCGAATAAGGGAGGCAGTAAAACAGGCTTTTGAGGAGGGACAGGGTAAAAACAAAGAAAGGGAGAAGGATAAACAGGAAAAATAGGATGGAGAGAAATACACAGTTAATAATAATAACTGAATATGAATGGAATGAATTTTCATATAAAACAGAAGTAGACAGCAGAATGGATTAGAAACCAGAATTCAACAATATGTTGTTTACAAGAAACACATTTGAAACAGAGACACACACAATAAAGATAAGAGGCTGGAGCAGAATCAATTATGCTTCAGTAGAAGTAAAAAAGGCAGAGGTAGCAATCCTGATCTTAGATAAAGCAAAAGCAAAAATAGATCTAATTAAAAGAGATGAGGAAGGAAACTTCTTGCTAAAAGGTACCATAGACAATGAAGTAGTATCAATGCTAAACATATATGCATCAAAAGGTATAGCATCCAAATTATTATTTTTTTTTTCCAAAGACTGGTGTCTCAAAGACTTTTTTATTCAAGGGGTTAAAGTGTGTCATTTTGAGTCTTGCAAGAAGTGGGCATACCTCCTTGGAAGGGGAGAAAATGCTTGCGGTAAAAGAAGCCAGGGCAAGCTTTATAGTTAGTAATTGCCTAACTCCTCCCTTCTGGATCAGGATTGATCCTAATCCTTCTGGGTTATAATCTTCCTTATATGCCCTATCCCTAACATACATTATGTGCCTAGAATTGTGTTATCACTCCTTCCCCTGGACGGAGAAGTTAGCCTGTGTGTGCTGATTTCTTATCTACTTATGTGGAAACTTAACTCTTTCATTTCTCACAATTCCTACTTTTTTTTTTTTAAGTAAAGATTTGGTTTCCACACCTTCCCAATTTCCTTCTCCTCTAATCTCCTTAACATGATTTTGCATTCTCCATCACTGGGGAAAGTCTCATTGATACATAAGGTATCATCATTCTTATATTGCCAGAGCCTGCCCTCTGAATTCCCACTGTGGGTTCGACTGGGATAATATTTAGTGAGGGACGTCTCTATCAATTGTTGTACCAGTCCCTTAGTGCATGGAACTACACAACATCCTACAGCAGTTAATACTCCTGAATGGATACAGCCATTCCTTTCCATTTAGCATCCAAATTCTTAAAGGAAAAGTTAAATGAGTTACAGGAGGAAAGAGAGAGTGAAACTATGCTGCTGAGGGACCTCAACTTTCCCCTCTCAGAACCTGATAAATCTAACTGAAAAACAAAAGAGAAAGAAGTTAAGGAGATGTATGGATTTAAAGTCTCCTGACTTTAAGTTCAGGGCTTTTTTCACTAAGTCATATGTGCTATTCATTGCCTATATGGCCAGATGCAAAGTGAAGTGAGCAGAACTAGGAGAATGTTGTGTACAATAACAACAATGTTAAATAACAACGATCAACTATTATGCTCAAGATAATGATCGAAGCCCATTCTGAAGGACCTATGATGAAGAATGCTACCCACCTCCAGAGAGAGAACTGGTGGACTTGTTCAGCCATTCCTCAACTGATGGGCACCTCATCAGTTTCTAATAATGTGCATTCTCTTCTCTTACACATCCATTAGGTTGTGAACTCCACTGAGGTCAGGGACTGTCTTTTGCCTATTTTTGTATCTCCACTGCTTAGCACGATGCCTGGCATGTAGTTGACACTTAGTGAATGTTACTGACTCTTTCCCTCCCTTTTATTCCTCTTCCTTTGATCCTTTTGTGGTATAGGACTATTATCACTGGGTCAAAGGATGTGCACAGTTTTGAGGGGCAAGTTCCAAATTTCTTTCTACAATGGTTGGACCAGTTTACAATTCTCTAGCATTTGTTATTTTCCTTTTCTTGTCAGCTTTGCCAATCTGATGGGCATAAGGTGGTACCTTAGAGTTGTCTTAATTTGCATTTCTCTAATTATTAGAGATTTAGAGCATTTTTTTCATATAGCTTTTGATAGCTTTTTTCTCTGATAGATTCTTTCTCTGAAAACTATCTATTTATATTCTTTGACTACATATATCAATTACGAGAGAGCTACTATTCTTATAAATTTGAATCAGTTCCCCATATATCTTAGAAATAAGACTTTAGTCAGAGAAACTTGCTTCAAAGATTTTTTGCCAGTTTCCTACTTCTCTACTAATTTTAGCTGAATTGGCTTTGCTTGTACACAAACTTTTAAATTTTATATAATCAAAATTGTCCATTTTGCTTCCTGTGGACTTCTCTGTCTCTTCCTCTATCCATAAATCTGACAGATAATTTCTTTCTTGCTCCTCTGATCTGTTTATGATGTCCGCCTTTTGTGTTTAAATCACATACCCATTTGAAGCTTGTCTTGGTATACGGTATGAGATGTTGGTGTATACCTCATTTTTGCTAGACCGCTTTCCAGTTTTCCCAGTGGTTTTAATACATATATATTTTTAGAATGGGAAGCCAAGCTGTTGACCCAAGCCCAAGTACCAGTTTTTATCTACCAAAATTTTAGACACATTACTCAGAAAACTGCCCATGGAGTGCTGATACCTCCCAAAGTGACGGCCAAAGGCATGCATGATGACTGGCTGGCTCTAGCTAGGACTATGTCTCCTGGAGAGGGTTCACCTATTAAAGGGTTACATCTGAATCTCCTCTCTAAAGGACCTACCTTATCTAAGCCACTTTTCATCCGGTGTTTGGCTGTCTTTAGCTCCTGTTTCTTGCGTCCAATCAGGGAAGAGAAGATGTTCAGTAGCTCCAGGTAGCTCTTGGGAGTGACATAATTGTGACGGGACAGCTCGGCTAGGTATTCAATGCATTTTTTGGCCACAGACTGGTGGATGCGGACACACACCTGGATCTACAGGGATGAGAGAAGTCCACGAGCCTATTTATAACCCTCCCTCGGAGATGAGGGGACCAAGAAGAGGTTACTATAGATAGAGGGCACTGCAAGGGGTGAGCATTACCCACTCAGCTTTGCCAGTCCCATACTGGGACTAAAATCAGAACAGTGATGGAAAGGTGGGAACCGGCAGGTAGAGCTCTGATGCTTTCTAGCTGGTGGACTTATCAAGAAAGGTTCCCTACATATGCACTAGCTCATAGCATCATCCTAGAGAGTAGATCTTCCCTCCCCCTCTCTCCTACCTTGGACTGGCATTGCATCTCCTAGAAGGGAAGAGGCTATTTTCAAGGTGAGAGCTGTCCCTGAGTACAGGGACATGTGAGTTGGAGCAAGTCATAGTCCTTCTTGTATTTTAGTCTTCTTATCAAATTAAGAGATGTTATGAACTCAAAGTTAAGTTTACATTCCCTTACATAGGGGAGAGGAGGGTTCATAGAAACATAGAATATCTGAGCTAGAAGGGACCTTAAAGATAATCTGATCCAAATTCCCCTCCACCACTTCACAGAGGAAGACTGGACAGGGGGAAAGACTGTCACACAGCAAATACAAGATAGGGCCAGAACTAGAACCCAGGGCTCCTTATTCCCCTACATTATATTGCCTTCTGTTTAGAAGAAAGTTGCTTGACCTTGAAAGGAAAAAAAATCTCAATTTTAACACCATCACTACCATATCTTTATAGTCTCTCTTTCCCAAAGCAAGAAGGACAGCTTGAATGTAGGTTAGGTATCACCCTTGCAACAGAATTTCTCTGAGTAGACATCAGAGAAGGGAGGAGCCATCTCCTTCTATGAAAAATATACAAGACAGAGATATGAAAATGCAACTTACCAGGCCTTCCTCATTTGTGTTGTCCAGCTCAGGGATCTCCTTCAGAAATCTGGAAGCCACAGACTCCAGGGCTTCAGATGGCCACTCATTGAACCAGTCAATAGTACAGCAGTTGACCAATGAGGGAAACTGTCTCAGGCGGGCTCGAAAGACCTCTCCAATAGGGCTGGGAAGTGATAAATGCTTAGAAGTCAGCCCAGAGCTATGGGAGTCAACCTATGCTCAATCCCCTACAAACTATAAACAAAAATGAAGCCCATAGTAAATAGAATGGGGATATTCCTTCACCGGAACTAGGTTTTTTCTGGCATCTCTAGTCTTGGGTATTATAAAAACTGGACTCATTTCCAGAGGATGGATGAAAGAGATGTGGGAATAAAATTGTGATTAAGAAAATTTTAATGTATAAACTCAGTTCCTTCTAACACTTTCAAGATGTGCTCCATCATTGATTCCCCTTTCAAAAAACAAAACAAAACAAAACCAATAACAAACCCCCTTCCCTTGTTCCTACCAGTTGGTCAAGCAATTATTCTTTCTTTTTCCTCTTTTCTTTTGTCAAATTTCTCAAAAGGACAATTTACACTTACTGCAACCACTACCTACTCACTCATTAACCCGTGGACTCGATTCTGTACCCTCCTCCTTCCTTGCCTTTTGAGTGAAACTGCTCTTATTGAGGTCTCTAAATGACCAACTGTCACCTCGGTGTAGATGACTTCCAACTATGCGTCTCTGGCCCTGACTTCTCTCCCAGCCCCCAAACCCATCTCTGCCTAGATGTCCTGGTGGCTTCTTAAGTCCAACATGTACACAACTTATTATCTTTCTCACAAAACAAGCTCTTCCACTTGACTTCCCAACTTCTGTTAATGGTACCACCATCTTCTCAGTCACTCTGATTCAAAACGTCTAAATTATCCTGAGTGTTGCTCTTTGATTCTTCCCTTTCTCTCCCCATCCCCCAATGATACATTCTGTCGCCAAGTCCTGCTGGTATGACCTCTCATTTACTCAGATACGATCCCTCCTTTCCATCCCTACAGCTGTCTCTAGAGTTTAGACTCTCACTACTTCTGACCTGGATTACTATCATAGCCTCCTAAGAAGCCTAATCTTCTTCATTGAATCCATCCTACACACTTCTTTCCTTTCTAAAGCACAGCTCTGCTACTTAAGTATACATATGTCATCATCCCTGCTCAAAAATCTGAAATGGCCATTTCCCACCAAATTAAATCCAAATTTCTGGGCCTGACGTTTGAAACCTTTTATTACCCAGCCAATCAGAGTTCACACTTCAGGCTACTTTATATACATACTCTCTGTTCCAGACAAAGTGGATAACTTGTTCTCCAACACACCCCACAGTTCCACCCTTTGCTAATGCCGTTGACTATCTGGAATCTACCACCTCTACCAAGTCACAACCCACCCACAACCCAGCTCAGATTCCATTTCCTTCATAAAGTCTTGCCTGATCCTGCAGTCATTAAAGATTTCTTCCTTCTTTGAACCCTGATATTGATTTTGTACTACTCTTCTGGCTATCACATTTTTCCTTATTTTTTTTTTTTACTGTCTATATACTTGTCAATACAAGACTGGGAGCTCCTTGAAGGGAGGAACCGTGACTTATCGATATCTGTATCTCCCCAAACCCTGAGCACAAGACTCTGCTAGAATGTAGTAAACCTCAGTAGATGTGTTTTGTGAGAAGTGAAGGCATATAGGCGACAAACATTGGAGACTGCAAGAGAAAAGTGGCTTTGTGCTTAAACTAAGAGCCCACATGTCTAGTGTGGAAACACTCTCAAAGGGATGCAGAAACAGGACAAAGGGGAGACAATGAGGGGTCATCGTGGCCTTAAGTGGGAAGTTCTGGGGAAAGATTAAATGGGGTAGAGGGGGTGAGGCAGAGATATAAAAGTGAAGTTTGGATTATCTAGGCATGACGATGACTCATAATGTCCTCCTTGAAGTCCCTCCTCCCCCAATTCCCATAACTACAGAGAGCTGAGAGATGGCAGTAGAGGCAGAAGGATGGGCCCTACCTCATACACAGCACCATGTGAATGTTGCTTCGCACAAAGCCTGTGTAGGCAGCCATCAGGTTGGCTTTGGTAGGCTGCAGCCCCAGCTCCTGAATAAGAGGCCGCATACTGGTGAGGATCTGGTCTTGCTCATCAAGGGAGTACAGGTTGGGAATGTCCCCAGAGTTCAGGACGTTGTTGATGTCCTCCAAGAATGATTCGTTTTTAATCTAAGTTGGGAGAGAGAAAAAAGCGTAAGTTCTTTGGGCCTACCCCACTGGAGGGGATACCAACTGATCAAATGACCCATGCTTCAGGTCTCAGGGTGTCTGTGTGTTCTGGAGAAGGCACAAAGATCTAGGAAAAGGGTGAGCTCGCTTAATTAAGGGTCCCTTGGAGGAAGCAGGTGTTATGTTAAAGCAAACCTTCAGCTTTAAAGCCCAGAGACTTGACCCTTCTTACTGGGTGATAAGCCTTATTCAGCTTTGGAGAGCTCAGCTGGCACCTCATTCATCCATGAGGCAGGATAAGGATGTGGGAGGATCCCTTGTGTGGGAGTCAGGAGACTTGAATTATAGTCCTAATTCTTACACTAATTAATCAGGAGACCGTGGATAAAACACTTGGCATCTTCAGGCCTCAGTTTCCATCTCTGAAAAATGGCATTCTCATTTCAATGTACATGCCACTGAAGAAGGTCTGGCCTCTGGGGAAGGGGACAGGGTGGAGGGCCCCAAAATCCAGTCCTGGGCTCAGCCTTTGGTCATTCCTTCTGGGTTTCATTCTCTACTGTCCTGAGCACTAATGTCTATTCCTTAACCTGTCCTGTCTCATTATGGCACCTGTGTGTCAGAAAACAGGAAGGTGACAGGGAGCTTTTGCAGCCCAGCCTTCAGCAGGATCTTCTTGACATCCTCACGCCACTCAGACATCCCATAGTTCTTAGACAACTCAATCTGGAAGCATTCGTACTCAGCCCTGGAAGGAATGTGGTGTGTGAGGCAGGTGACTGGTTTTTTAGTGGGGTTCTCCCCTTGCTGGGCCCCTGCCAAGGAACTATGGTACCTTGAGTGATAGAATTGGAGCTAGAAAGGTGGTCTAGACCTCAGTTGGGAGAGCTTTGTTTCTTTACAGCTGAACAGAACCACTAGTACCACCACTACTACCTCTGGGGCCAAGACCAATGTCCCTTCTCTTCCCTTGAGTAGTGGTGGTGGTGGTAAGAGTGGGGCTGCTGGGGGCAAGCACTAATAAGGACCCCCAGCTCTGCCTATGGACTGATTATCCAATTTCTTTTCCTTTTTTCCTGGGTTGCAGAAGAAGGGAGTAGAGGCTGTAGCTACAGAGCTAAAGATAGTAAGAATAAGGATAAAGAATAGCAACTCAAAATGTCAGAGTGTTTCAAAGTTGATAAAGCCTTCTTCCCTATCATTGCTGGAAGATAGTACAAGCAGTACTATCCTCATTTTACCAATAAGGAAACAGGTGCATTGAGGGAGAGTCATTGGCCCAAGGTCACATAACTAGAAGATGGTAGAGCCATTTTCTGAGCCAGAGACTCAGGCCTGGGTCTTCTGACCAGCCCCACCCCATTTCTATTCTACCACTGAGATAGGGAAGAACAAGGTCCCCACCCTCCACTCCACCCCCCTGGCTCCCGTAGCCCTTTCTTCCTCTCTCTGGCCAAGTGGAATCATACATGTGAGAGGCAAGCCGCGTGAGGGAGTTGCGGCCACTGCCTCCCACACCCAAGAGGAGGGCATTCCCTAGCGACTGGCGCAGGATGCGGCTGATGCGGCAGATGTGGCTCATGGCATCCATGAAGAGCACCAGCTTCATCTTGGCCGTGTTGATCTGGTTATAGTCTTCCATGTACTCCTCAATCACATGCTGCATCTGGGGCCAGGATGGGCACAAGCAAGAGAGAAATCACAAATCAGCCTTTCAGAACGTCTCCACTGCAGGGGCACTGAGGGTGTCTAGGCTGGAATAAGAGTGAAAGGAGTGGGAGTCACTCAACCAGCCTTTCATAACCAACTCCCTGGTCTTACAGGGTGTGTGAATGAGGCCCAGGACAGACAGGACTTGTCAAAGGTCACAATGCTCAATTCCAGCAAAGCTGGAACTAGAACCCAAGTTTCCTGGCCCGTCACTCAGGAGGTTCAGATAGACATGGACCCAGAGAGGATGAGTGGGAGTATTTTGGACATTCTATGGAATAATATTAAACTTGCTTTAATGCAAAATGAAAAAATAAACAAACGAGCAAACCAGAAAAATCCCAGAACTGCCCTTAGTGATTGTCATCCTAGTAAAGAAGAAGAAATTTCTGGCTAGAGACAGGACAGTGTAGGGGGGAGATGCCTTGGCTTTGGCCTTGACTCGAATTCTGGCTCTGCCACTTACTACTTGTATGACCCTGGGTAAGTCCTTTCCTTTCTCTGGGTTTTGGTTTTCCCCTCTCTGGGATGAGAGAGCTGGGCCAGATCATCTCTCAGGTCTCCTCTAACTCTAGAGCCTGGGGTCCTACAGCACAAGAAATGTGACAACCCTGGCACTCTAAGCTCTACAGGCACCCTGGTGGTGAGGAAGAGGAGAGCACAGGAGGAGGACAGCTAGAATTAGAGTAAGTAGAGGTGGAAGAACTGACTCAGCCCTCCGAAGAGGGCTAAGCAACTCCAGGCCTTTGTAAGCTTGACCATATTTAGCTTCACATGAGACCTTCTTATGTGGGATGCTGCTCCTTTCTGAAGAGATTTTTGTTTTTAACCATCCATGGAGCAAGATGAAGGGAAGCAGGAGGCCAGGTGAGACAAGGTGAGATTGGGTTCCCAAAGATCTGGGGCCAGCGATAAAAAGGCCCCTTGCCCCTACCTCTAGCTGATCAGAAACCACAGAAAGCGGGCTCTCTGTCTCAGCAGGGCCGCACTGTTTTCCCCCCCAGAGCATCACAGAAACAGGAGCTCAGAGTCCTCCTGGAGTAACCAAAAGATTTAGAATGAACTTCCCCACATCTGCTCTGGGCCCTCTCAGGAAGAAGCTAAGAGGCAGACTTTCCAAGGAGAGAGAGAGACAGACGATCTGACTCACTAGCTGACTCTGAGCTTCCCGGCCTCTCTAGCACGCAGTCTGACCCTTTATAAGCCTGGGATGCCACTCCAGGCATTATAAAATCACAGAATCCATTGCTAGAAGGGGTCTCTGAGGTCATCTAGTTGAATCCATACCTGACCAGAGATCTCCTCTATGATATCTCTGACAAGTGGTACGATGGCTGAGTGGGGGGAGGGAGGGAGAGGAGAGTGGTTTCCTCTGGGGTCCTATAGCACAAATAGAACAAGACCAGGTGGAGAGTCTGGTATTGGTGAGGGTAGAGTGAGGGAAGGACTGGTCAGACCCTAGGAAGGAAAATTAGGACCTCCCAACAATTGGTTCAGTTTGCTTCAGCCAGAATTCAAGGCTCACCCTGGAGGGGAGGAGAGCCTCCAGAGAATGGAGGCTGATGGGAGACCCACTCCCAGGCCCTCGTCCTCCTACCTTCTCATGGTCGATGATCAGTTCATAAATCCTAGTGTCGGACCCTGGCATCATGAAGTCTCCATACAAGATGGGCTGATAGGGGCAGACCTCGAAGAAGGAGGTATCCCACAGCACCATCTTGCTTTCCATGAGCTTGTCAAACCAGTTCCGATCCTCATCATTAACTAGACGGTCCCGGAACACCCGACAGCTCTCATGGTACCACAGTCTCAGCAGCTGGACCTTGTCCTGAGGAAGCAAACAGGAAAAAGTTCAGAGCTTTTGAACACTCTCTCACTCCCCTCTTGACTGGGAGGGGAGCCCTCTTCTGTAAGGAGAGGTCACCAGGCAGCTCATCCTGGGGCCAGAGACAAAACAAAGGCCATAGCAAAGCAAGATATAAGATAACACTAGCTCACATTTTTATGGCACTCAAAGGGTTACAGAATATTCCCCCCACAATGACCCCAAGAGGGAGATAGTGAAAATAATATTATGTCCTATTTTACAATGAAGACACTGGGGTCCAAAGGGAATAAAGAGACTGCTCAAGGTCACACAGCTAGTAAGTTGGAGGCCAGGTCAGAATTTTCTTATGGGTACTCAGGGATAGTCAGGGTAGATCCAGGTGGGGTCAACTATGTTGGAAATCTTACTTTTGATGGGGTGCCAGGGTGCTTGTACTTGAACTCCACTTCCATGACCGTATTTCTCCTTGGCCTCAGAAACACTATTCCTGACAGTTTCCCTCCAGCCCAAGGACCCTATCTCTGGCAATAACTCATGAGTGGGCCCAGTGAGGCAGAACAAGCTGACCTCTGTAAACTTCCCTTGTATGAACAGGACTGTCTTGTACCAGCAGAACTATCAAGTACTGATGCCCACATTTACCGTATACAATCCAGAGGTCAAGCTGTAGATGTCAGTTCCTGAAACTATCTTGTTGCAGACATAACAGACCAAGAACATAACCTTTAGGAACCCTCTCTTTCCCTCTTCCCCAATTTCCAGTAGTGAATGACGTAGTTGTATGTTATCACCTAATTAGCATAGTTGGCGCATAACCCACTACTTTTTCCTACATAAACTTTAGCATCATTTCTGTTAGGTTGCAAGTTTAAATTTGAGAAGGAAAGATGTTAAGTGGGGTCCAAGTACAAACACCCCAGTACCCCATTACTTTCAGTTCAGTTCAATTCAGTTCAGTAAAAATTCCTGGATCCCGGTGTGCCCAGGGTCCTATATCAGCTGCTCAAGAGAGGCAGAGATATATAATTTTCTGACTTGTCCCTGCCCTCATGGAACTCAGATCATAACAGAGAGTAGAAGACACAGATCAAGATGCCAGGCAGGAGAGGTAACCACTACCTAAGAAAAGCTGGGACAAAGTGTCATGGGAGCTCCAAGGCAGATGGGTTTCTCATGTTATTCAAACCTCTGTAGCACAAATTCCAGAGGAAAGAGAAAGCCCAGATGTGTGATGAACCAGAGAATCTAACTAATTTGTGTGACTCAGAGGATGGAGAAGTGGGAAGGCAGCAGAGAGAGAGAGAGAAACCCTCCAATTGCTCTAGCCTTCTCTCTCTCTTCCTTCCTCTCTGAAGATTAGGTAGGATGCCCAAAGATCACAGGGAGGATATTGAAAACACTTGGCCCTGCCCAGGGAGAGAATCAGAGAGCCAATGCCAGAGGCTCTAGGCCTCTGCAGAAAAGACCATCATAGCTCTGTGCCTTCTTTGATTTAATAATAATTTTCTTGCCACAGATCAGTTTCTAAGTCAACCCTGTCTTGGGGACTGAAGTGAGAGAAATGATTATTAAATAACAAATTATAGGGAGATTCTGAGTTTTTTCCCTTCCTATCTCCTCATTCTCTATTGGGTCAAGTCAAAATCTGAAAAACATTACTGATAATGAGACTGGATTAACTTTCTCCTCAGTCTGGTTCATACCCCACCCAAGCGGGGAAGCCCATTGTGTTTTACTCAGGCTTGGGTGGGAGAAGGTTAGATCCTTTGTCTAGATTGCCTCGGCTGGGGGAGGTCTGGGAGCAAGAGTGATCAAAGTCAGGTCCCCCAGTTCCTCTTTAGAATGTGTTCACTTCTCTTTACAATATTCATTCTCATTAATTGTTCATCAATCAGAGTTGATGGCCATCCTCGGGAATACCCACTTTTAAAAAAATTAATTAATTTATTTTTAGTTTTCAACATTTGCTTTCGTAAGATTTTGAGTTTGAAATTTTCCCCCCTCCCTCCAGTCTGCCCTCCCCAAAATGGCATGCAATCTGATATAGGCTATACGTGTATGATTATATTAGACATATTTCCACATCAGTCATGTTGTAAAGAAGAATCAGAACCAAAAAGAAAAACCATGAGAAAGAAAACACAAAAAAGAGAAAATAGTATGCTTTAATCTGCATTGAGACTCCATAGTTCTTTCTCTGGATGTGGATAGCATTATCCATCATGAGTCTTTTGGAATTGTCTTAGATCATTGCATTGCTCAGAAGAGTGAAGTCTAACAAAGTCAGTCATCACACATTGCTGCTGTCACTGTGTACAGGGACACCCACTCTTTCAGGGCATATAAGCATTGAGTGGCTTCCAAGAGGGGTCTCTGGCATTTAAGAGTGCCACTGACCCCTTTTATTATTTATCTGCTGGCATAATTAATAAAATGATTACCCAGAAATTATGTCTCTCGCACTTTTTATACATCACAGAAGGAAAAAAAAGGACTGAGCCAGGAGGGCTGTCCCTGTCGGCTGTCATCCAGTCTTGAGTAAATCCCTAAAGCTGCAGAGCACAGCTGCAGGGACATTGTGTCTTCTGACCTTGAATCTAAAACTTAGCGTAAGGAAAAATGCATGCCTCAACAAATGCAAACATCATCTCCTTCTTTGACTTTGTTACACATTATCTTTTCCGCTGTCCTTTCCCTGAGTCTAGTTGCAAATGAGCTATCGTTGGAATGACATCATATGGGCGACATTTTGTGAGTTGTAAGGTTTGCTGTTTTACCCACTATTACATAGTTTCCTTTTGTCTCCCTAGCCTGGCGCCTGGCAAACAGTAAGCACTAAATAAATACTTGTGTATTGAATGATTTCAATATTTCAGAAGATTCAGGATTTTGCCCATGTGGTTAATCTCCCCACTGATACAGATTACAACCCTTTATATCAGGGGTCTTTCACTTTTGCGTGAGTATGTCAGGGGCCCTTTGAGCAGTCTGGTGACACCTATGGACCCCTTCTCAGAATCATGTTTTTAGAGGCATAAAATAAAATACAAAGAATTAGAAAGGAAACCAATTCTATAGAAATCAGTTACCAACAGATTCTTAAACACCAAGTCACAGACGCCAGGGGAAGGACACCCACAGGGCCTACACCTTGGCTCCTACAGCCCACCCAACCTCCCATGAGCTGCAGCCACCATTCTAGCAACAAGTCTTTCTGCACTTAGCTAGGCTTGGCCCTTCTTGAATGAGCACAGAATGGGTATGGAGTCTGCTGCTGAAGTCGAATTTGACTTTCCAGGGCTTACACTCGGTTAAGAGAGGCTCTGAAAACTCAGGGTCACCTCTCCCTGGAGAAAGTCTTGTGGAGAGGAAGGAACCAGCATGAGCCGGGAAAGGACATTTTTTCATCATCTTCCTGGGCTCATGAGGTGTCCACGGATAATGAGAAAGAGAAACTAGTACAAGCTCTTGACTTTATAGATAAGGAAATTGGAACACAGAGACAACAGGAGACTTACATACGGTTACAGAACTCCAGTGGCAGAGCTGAGGTCAAACCCAAGCCCACTAGGCTCTCCCCTATGCCACACTGCATGGCCCCTAAGGTCATTTAACTTACTTCATTTAATTTACTTAATGAAAAGCAATACTTTACTTTAAAGATTCAGCTGTCTTCTAATTCTTTTCCATCCTTTTTTCTTTTTTCCTTTTAGAATGCTGCAAACATGTTTTTAGGGGAATGAAAAGTATGATGTCACTCTCTGTGGGGCAGGGGAAGAAGATGCTTCAGTATAGCGGCCCTCACCTGGATTTTGGAGGGCTCAGCCATGAGCATGCCCTGGAAGACTTTGGAGAGGTCCCTCAGGTTAAAAGTGTAGTGGCACTTGGCTGGAGTGGGCAGGAGCTGAGAGGTGATGGTGGCATATACCTGGATGGTAGCTCCCACAAGGGGCTCGTTCAAGTCTGTCACTGCAGGGGCTCCCGCTATTAGGGAGAGAAGAGTGCAAGGGGGTCAGGGTGGACCTGGACTGAAAAAATGACAAAGGCCTGAACAGAGGAGGCCCTGGCTGTTTTTTCACTATGAAGACTTCTTTTCCCGACATTCAGGGCCCTCCTAAATCTCATGCTTCTTATTTTTCCAGTCCTTGCTTTCCTTCATCCACACTCCACACAACTCAGACAATATAACTAAAAACACACTTTGCTCTCTTGCCTTGGTGTCTTTACTTGCATAGTTCCCTACACCTGGAATAACTGAGCCCCACCTCTCCTCTTCCTGAAACTTCCTTTGACTTCTGGGATACTGCCTGCTCCTGGTTTTCCTTAGACCCATCTGACCATTCCTGCTCAGCTTCTCTTACTGGACCATCATCCACCACCTACCCATCAAGCACAGGTGTCCAAACCCCCAAGGTTCTGTCCTGGGCCTTCTCTTTGCTCCCGACCCTCTTTCTCTGATCTTATCAACTCCCATGAGTTCCATGATCATCTTTACACAGATAACTCCCAAACCCATATTCTAGCCCCTATCTCTCTCCAGAACTCTAATCCCATTATACCAACTCCCTACTAGGTCTCTCTACCCAAATGTCCCACTGGCACCTCAACGTTAACGTGTCCGAAATGGAACCCGTCATCTTCCCCACCTCCCAAACCAAGCCTTCCCTAAAATGTCCTTTCTATTGAGCCCATCACCCCATTTGGAGCCACCCTCCTTCCTCTCCAGCCTGCCCTCTGGACATCCTTGGTGCATATGAAGGGCTTAATAAATTCTAGTTGAGGGGCAGCTAGGTGGTGCAGTGGATAGAGCACCGGCCCTGGATTCAGAAGGACCTGAGTTCAAATTCGGCCTCAGACACTTAACACTTACTAGCTGTGTGACCTTGGGCAAGTCACTTAACCCCATTGCCTAGCCCCCCCCAAAAAAAATTCTAGTTGACTGACTAACCACCTTTACAGCCACCCACATTCACAATCTTGGAGTCATTCTTAACGATTCTCTTTCACTTAGATGCCAAGTCTTATCAACACCTCGTGTATCCTCAGAAAAGACTGACAAGGGCCCAGAAGAAAAGAGCTGAACACGACAGTGGTCCTCTCCCCTCTTCTGTATCTTGGTCTGGTAACAGTGATCAAGAATACCACTGCTTCTGAAAAAGTCATGGCAATGACTGACCTATGGCCACACTCATCATCCTTTGTGACTAAAACTCCTTTCCCTGGTGCCCACGCCACTACATGTATCGTTTCCACCTATATGAATGTAAACTCCTTGAGGGCAAGGGCTATATTTATGTATAGCCTTTATATATGCCCTCCTACCCTCCTTTCTATTTGTATCCACAGTGGCCAGCACAGAGCCTGGCATATAGAAGGTGCTATAAATGTTTGTTACTGTTTTATTGTCATTTCATTCATTCATTTGTTCATTCACAGCGTCCTCCATCGTTCAGTCCTTTACTTACGTACAGGGTCTCTGTAACTCTTTTCTCCGAGGAGTCCAGCTGTAAAATAAAGTGACGCAGCTTTTCAATCTTGTATCTCAATCATGGCAGCTGGCTATCCTAACTAGTACGAAGGATGCATTTCCAAACTGGATAGAAACAAGCCTACAAAACTGCACATCTAGCTGTCTCCTATGCCAGAAATTACTGCCCCTCTAGGCAGTAATTCAGACCTCCTCTATCCAAAGGCCAAGTAGCCCCTCAGGAAATGAATTGGGAATGAATACTTGGGCTTCAACCATCACTAGCTTTTGAATGTTTGATTAGGAAAGACCAACAAGGGGAGTGAGGCATTATTCACTGGCCATTTCCCAAAGCCCACTTGGAAGACTAGGGCCACTATTAATAAAACTCACAAGAAGGTATTGGTTGATTAATATCTTTTATTTCTTTTGGTTTTGTTTTATACTGGAAAGGTAAGAAGTCTCAGCCTGCTTTCCACGTTTACCTCCAAGTGCTCAGCCTCCCTCATAGGTGAATGACCACTGAAGTCTGAGGGAAGCCGTGAACTAGGTTCCCTCATTCTGTCTACCTGACCATCTTACTACTCTCCCTAGGACATGGGTGGGGAGGGGAAATTTGGTCCTGGAGGCCTCTGTTCCAGACACTCACCCATCCAGCTCCTTAGAATGGTAGAGAAGATGCGTTTCTTGCTCATGTCATCCATCTCAATGAAGGAGAGGTAATTGAAATGGTGGGTGAGGCGGGGAGTGATGGCATTCCGGCCCCCACCAGGTGGTCCCATGGCACAGACAAAGTTAATGTCCACCAGGCGTTTGAACATACCTACAAGTATCCCAAGGAGTCAGAGGACAAAGAAAAAGCCACTGGGGAAGTCCATAAGGACTGAGTCTTCCAACTGACCTCATATGATTTAGAAAAAGGTAGTTACATACCAATCATCTTCCGGTCATACCAGCCCCCGTGGTCCATCCACTGGCGTAAGAGTTCAATGGGGGGCTGGGCTCCATAGGTCTCCAGAGCAGGCATGTTCAGGTCATCAATGAAAAATATGAAGTAGCGGCCTAAGGGGGGCCCAAACACCCCCTTTCGCCTGTAGAGAGGAAGGGCTTCTATAAGCAAGCACAGAATCATGGAAGATTCCAGGGGAAGGTCCCCAGACTCCATGTGGGACCATTGCGACAAGTATCCAGCTAGTCCTGACTCTTCTTCCACATACCCAGGAGGGTTAGAGAAAGGTCCTCAGCCACTCACAAGAGAGCATCTGTTCAGTAAAATCTTTTATTTATTTATTTATTATTTTGGTTTTGCTTTTTTTAGTCCAGACCAGTGATTTTATCTGTGTGGAGAACTGCCACTAAGGAAACTCCCTTTGTCAAAGCAGATCAGCAAATGCTCTGTATAGTCTCAGAGATTTGCCTCAGGGCACTGAGAGGTAAAGTCATTTGCCCACAGGTGCTTGGTCACTCTGCATGAGGCAGAAGCCAGCTCTTTATCCACTGGGTCTTCTATGTGAAGCCTACTTTGGCCACTCAGCTCATCCTTATCTCTCCCTTTCCTGAACAACCACAGCACTAATTCTGTCTCCAGGACTACCTGGCCTGGATTTAATCATGCTGGCCTTGCTAGATACCTTTTGCATTGCTGATAGGGACCTTGGAGATGAAGTCCAACCCCGCACTTTACAGATAAAGACACTGGGGCCCTGAAGACTGATGTGACTCCTTCGAGGTCATACAGGGAGGCAATGGTCAAGCTAGGGCTGGAACCTGTGTCTCTCCTCAACACTACTCTAAGTTCCTCCAAAGGTAGAGACTAGATCTTATGCTCAGACGAGTGAGTGTGGTCCAGTGGAAAGAGCCTTGGCTCTGCCATCGGCAGATCTGAATTCCTGGACGGGTTCTGCCAAGTTCATGGCCAAGTTAGTTTGGGTCTCAGTTTCCTTCCTCCTATATAAAATGGAAATATTTGTATTGCTTGTATTATGGAGGGGGAACTGAGCTGTGAGATGAATTGATGTATATGAGGTCCTTTTTAAAAGCATCAGTTATTATTACTGCATACCTGTATCCACCATAACACTTAACATTGGGCCTGGCACACAGTATGTTTTCCATAAATAGTTGTTGAATAAATGAACAAATGAATGAACACTATGATTAGCTAAAATCTAAACAGCAGCCAACAGCTGTCCCTCAGGAAACTCAACTCTAGCCCAGTGGGGAGGAGTCGTCCTGTAATACCTCTGGGATCTCCCGTAGCCCCACTATCCCAGGGCCTGATGCTCTGGGCCTAAAGGGACAGTGAACTTGGGGAAACTCATGCCACTTCCTGTCATTTTATAGGAACGTTTCTGTGCACTCCACTATCAGATATAGTAGCAACCGGATTTTTTTAAAGCTGTATACAGTGAAATCTTAAGGTTTATGGGTGGAACAAAGTGGCCAGAGCAAAAAAAGGAATTTTGCCTTTTATCTAGCTTGCTGTCAATGAGGTCCTGGGTTTGATTGGCTGAGGTGCGGGCTGAAAATGTCATAAAGTGGGTGATGTATTCCAAAGGCAAGTTCTTGAGAAGCTTGTCCAAAATTGTGATCGTCTTTCCCGTGCCCGTGGGCCCAATGCACAGGACCTAGGAGGAGAGGAGTAAAGACGTCAGGCAGGATTGGGCCTCCAAAGCTGGGCCTCCAGGAGCTGGTGAAGCCAGTGAGCCTCAGGGAGAAAGAAGGTGAAGCTTAGAGATGATGATTCTTACCCCTATTTCTAGAAGAAAGGAGCCGTTTGAGGACTTACTGGTTTCTTATTGGTGAGGAGCATCCCTAGGAGGAAAGACATCTGGACAGTGTCCATTGTGGGCACAATGATGTTGGAATAGCTGGTATCAGGAGCCATGGTAAACGGTGCTGATATATCCATCCACTTCACCCAGCTCACCTGGAAGACACAGGCTGCTTTAGACGCTAGACCTGGCCAGCTAGATCCCCTACCACAGCAGAGCAGCCTCAACCGGGATCGTGGACATCTGAACCTGGAATGATGGTGTCTCCCCTGCTGAGGGTCAGACTTGGATGTTCCCCAAGCATCCCCATTCCATCCCTTGAGGTTTGGCCTCTGATTTAGCCTCTCAGGCCAAGAAGGAAAAAAGCCATCACCTCTTTTTTTTCATCTTCCTCCTCATCAAAATCCTCCACGTTACTGATGCCACAGTCATCTAGACGGTAATCAAACACCAAGCCATCTTCTGGGAAGAGCAAGCCTATCTAGGGAGAAAAAGCATGGGACTTTGGCCCTTGGTCTCCTTCCTGACCAATTGCCACTGAAGGGCTGGTAATCCCAAGACCACTGGGAAGAGCAATGCCCAGTCCTGGAAACCCTGGGATTGAGGTCACCTGCCCAATCCCCCAGCCCACTGGTTCTGCCTCAAGCCTGGCCCCAAGTGGTCATCCATGTGGAGATCAAGCCTGGGGGAGAACAGACCCGGCATTCTCCCCACAACCAATACCAACCACTGACAATGGCCACAGACGCGCAGGTAAGCCCAAGAGCCTGGGAAGTGGCAGCATTCTCCCATCTCACTGGACCTGCTTCCATCCCAGTCCCCACAACCACTGTCCTTATGGAGATGTGACTTGGCAATTGTTTTGGCCTGGGCTGCTGCCACCACCTCCTTAGCAGCCACAGCTACTGAAGACCCCACAAGAAAGCTCTCAGCACCAAAGTCCTTGGTCTGTCAAGTGGCTCACAAACGGTTATGGTTTCATCAGTGGAAATAAGATGAGAAAACTGTATCGTCATCCACTTCACTGCTGCTCCCTCCTCTGTAGCTTATCTTCCCCTAACAGAACACGAGCTCCAAGACAGCAGGGATTCTCTCCTTTTTCTCTTTATCCCCAGCACTCAGCAAAGCGTTTGGCACAAAGCAAACGCTTGATGAATGCTTTTTCATTCATTCATTCTCTACCTGTGTGTGTGTGTGTGTGTGTGTGTGTGTATACACACTCGCGTTGTATGCATGCCTGTGTGCTGGAGCAGGGCGCCAGTGGACTCCTCCCCTCTTACTACTCACCTCTTCCATTGTCATCTTTGCCCTGAGCCACCCGCTGAAGGCCCTGCGGCTGCTCGCATCTCCTGTGGCTCCCACACTCCATATCAAGGAGAAGATGAACCACGGCTCTACCAGCTCTGGGATTCGAATCAGCTTCTCATGAGGGAATTTCTTGACACCCTGAGGAGACAGGAAACTGAAGATGTGCTGAGGATGTAAGAGACCTACAGCTCAGGATGTAACCCACACAGGGACCAGCATACAATGCACACGTAACCCCACAGAGAATACATATATAGCTCAGGCTGTGGCACAATCCATGCACACAAAATAAGGTAAATTCCTTGTCCTCAGTTCAACTCCAATATTCAGTTTTCCTACTGATTTTCCAGATTTATTCTGCCACTAATTCACAGCATAACATTAGGGCAATCCCTTTATCCTCTGTAAAACGATTCTATTATTCCCAAGTTTCCTCCTCCCTCTGACACTCTAGGTACAAATTTCAATCTTGTATGTCCTACAAGGCATGGATATGAAATAATCATTTCTTAACCATGACCAATACCCATGCATAGTGAAAAAATAATCCTTAAAATGTGTGTATCTAAGTGTACCCCTATATAGCTGAGGCAGGAACAATGAAAATGTAATTGTGGGGGTTATATATTTTAATGGCTCTAATAAGCAAAAATTAATTAACATGCTGGTTAAGTAAAGGCATGCCAAGGGAGGCATAAATATTTGAACTCAGTTGGGGGAAGGTTAAAAGGCACAGCCTGAATAATTGGGGATCAGAAAACAGGTTGATTAGATGCCGGATTCATGGAGACAGGGAATTTTAAGAAAAGGTCCAGAACAAGAAAGCGGTCATTAAGGGACCGTGAGCAACAGCTGTGAGCTCTGGAAAGGGAAAGGCTCAGAGCAACTCTGGAAGTGGGGGCCCATGGAATTCTGTGGGGTGTTAGGATGGAGGCTCCCAGCAACCTGGCTTGCTTTCAAGCTCAAGACCAAGAGATACCGTACAGAAAGAACTGGACTTTGGTGACCAGCAGACAGCTCAAGTTTGGGCTGAGGATGGAAACATGAAGGAATACAGATAAAACTGAAGGTGATCACTATACTCAACTGCGTCAAGCCAAACTAGGTAACCAGACTGTATTTGAAGATGCACACTCCTGGAAGTATTTAAAATGCCTCTGATAAGACTTCTCATGGAAATAAGATGGTTTCTGCCCCCTCATGGACTGAGTATGGGTTGTTTGAGTGAAATTTTTGAGAAGAAATACTAGAGGAGAGAAAAGAAGGGGAAAGGATATGGTCCCACTCTTAATTTTTTTTTTATCCTGAACCTAACATTTGAAAAAAAAAAAAGGCCATTTCCATACACATAACACACCAAATAAAGCTTTACACAAAATGGTGAATCTCCATTGTATGTTGCCTGCTTTTTTTTTAATAGAAAGATAGATATCCATACATAAAATAAATCATACACATTATTTTCAAAATTCTTGCTTATCTGTTTTCCTTTGGGTCTTCTTTGGTGCATTTTTTAAAATGTTACACTGACCAAGGGAAAGGAAAAAAAAAAACGAAACTTGTGATGACAGTAAGTATAGTCAAGCAAAACTAATCCACACAGCAGCCACGTACACACGTGTCTTTGCCTCTCCTGTCCATCCCCTCTCTGCCAGGAGCTGGGTAACAGGCTTCATCATCAGTTCCCTGGAAACATGGTTGATCACTGCATTGATCAGAGCTCTTAAGTCATCCAAAGTTGTTTTTCCTTATGATGCTGCTGTCCTGGTACAAATTGTTCTCCTGGTTCTGCTCACTTCATACCACATAGGACTTTCTGCAATCATCTCTTTCTTCATTTTTTATGGTGCAAGAATATTTCATTACCTTCATATGCCTTTTTGTTCAGCCGTTTCCCAAATGTCCGAAAAGCAATCTAAGCTATCCCCTTAGGTTCTGATTCTTTTCTTTTCTTATGCTCAACCTACCTTTGTTCATCTCAGATAAGAAGTGAAGTTGACCATTTTGGAGAGCAATTTGGAACTATGCCCAAAGGGCTATAAAAATGTGCATACCCTTTGACCCAGCAATAGCACTTCTAGGGCTATATCCCAGAGAGATCATACAAATGGGAAAAGGACCCACTGTACAAAAATATTCATAGCAGCTCTTTTTGTGGTGGCAAAGAATTGGAAATTGAGAGGATGCCCATCAATTGGGGAATGGCTAAACAAGTTGTGGTATATGAATGTAATGGAATACTACTGTGCTATAAGAAATGATGAACAGGCTGACTTCAGAAAAACCTGGAAAGACTTGTATGGTTTGATACTGAGTGAAGTGAGCAGAACCAGGAGAACGTTGTACACAATAACAACCACGTTGTATAATTACTAATATTGATAGACTTACCCTTTCTCAGCAATACAAGGATCTAAGCCATCTCCAAAGGCCTCATGATGGAAAATGCTATCCACATCCAAAAAACAAAACAAAACTATGGAGTTTGAATGCAGATCAAAGCATACTATTTGCTATTTTTTTTTCTTTCTGTTGTATTTTGTTTCCTCTTTCTGGTGGTTCCTCCTATTGGTTCTAATTTTTCCTTACAACATGACTAATATGAAAATATATTTAACAGGAGTGTATATGTAGAGCCTGTATCAGGTTGTATGCTATCTTGGGGAGGGAGGTGGAGAAAAATTTAAAACTCAAAAGCTTATGGAAGGGGCAGCTAGGTGGCGCAGTGGATAGAGCACCTGGAGTCAGGAGAACCTGAGTTCAGATCCGCCCTCAGACACATAACTCTCACTAGCTGTGTGACTCTGGGCAAGTCACTTAACCCCAATTGCCCCCCCCCACACACACACACTTATGGAAGCGATTGTTGATAAATCAAAATAAATTAATAAAAAAGAAGTGAGGTTGACCCAATGCCCATTCCTCCCACCCCTTCTGCTATATTTGTATATTCGTTTTATGAACCCCAATGATGAGAAATAGCATGCTTTCCCCACACCTTCCTTCTCATTTCAACACTAGTATACTCCTCCTGGTACTCACTCTTCTCTTTCCCCTCTTAAGACCCTCAGAACAGAATCAATCCATCCCTGTTTTCCTCTGTTTTACTCCCTCGATAACCCTTGAAGATATTAAGAGTCCAAAGGGACACTTGTTTCTTCTCCCCGTAGCAGAATGTTAGCACTACATCATTATACAGCTCCTTTACAACTGCTTGAATAAATTTATCATTCTAGATTTCTCTGGCCTCATGTTTGCATTTGAATTCCTACCCAGGACTTTCTATCAGAAATGCTAGACAGAACCAGGAGAACATTGTACATAGTAATAGCCACATTGTGTGATGACTAACTTTGACAGACTTAGCTCTTCTCAGCAATGCAAGGATCTAAGACATCTCCAAAAGTCACTTTCTATTCTAAGCTACTTATTCTCCTTCTAATTATTTCTTTGAGAGAGTTTATTTAATTTTGTATCTCTTGAGTCATTTCTTTTAGGCACTGTCAAAAATTCATTGTTTCCTTTGAGTCTCTGTGGTTGTGAGAGTTAGATTTGCATGTTTTTGTTTGTTTTTTGAGGCTGGTGAATTTTTGTTTGATATACTTCTCTTTCTAGTTTTAGTTCCTGAACTGGGCCTTTGTGCCAGGACCAGACTTCACCCCTTGCTTCTACCCTTTCTGGGTAGGACAGTCAACCCTGGCTGGTCTCAGTTTGAGTTCCCTAGGCCCCTGTGCTGCTCTCTATTTCACTGGCTTAGATCCTTCTGGAACCTCAAGGTTCCAAGTACCAGTTCTTCAGGGCTCTGTCTGGCATCTCTGGACTGTGTTAGGAATGCTGGGGCCTCTGAGTCTGGATGGTGCTGATCTGAAGGCTGGGGCAGCTCCACTGGTCCCTATCTGCTCCCATTCCCAGGTCTTCCAAGTTTCCAGGGATTTCTGACACATCCCCCCTCCAAACTTTCTCAGGGGAATTCTATTCTTGCTGCTTCTGAGACACAGAGCCTTACAAGCTACCTGCCAGCCCACATCTGGCCACATTGGCATTCATTCACTTTGTTTGGGGGACATCTTCCCTATTGCCCATGTGTTTCTGGAAGATTTTGGGTACAGTTTTATGGTAAAAAGAAGTTACTTGCTATAATTTTTCATTGAACTTCTTGATCATTATTTGGTCTTCTGAAAACTTTAAGGTTTTGCTGGAGTGTTGAGGAGCTGGGTTGCCTGCTTTCTATTTAGGAGGCCATTTTGAGGGGCAGCTAGATGGCGCAGTGGATAAAGCACCGGCCCCAAACTCAGGAGGACTCAAGTCCGGCCTCAGACCAAACACTTGACACTTATTAACTATGTGATCCTGGGCAAGTCATTAAACCCTAACTGCCTAAAGGAAAAGAAAACAAACCAAAAAAAAAAACAAAAACAGGAGGCCATTTTGGCAGGAAGTCTTTGCTCTTTAGAGGAGACAGCTTGAGTCGTTGAGTGGTGGTAGGAGAAAGTTACAAGCAGAAGAGTCCTGGAGAACCTTCTGTGCATGGAGTCATGGGAAATTTCACAAACTAAATATAAGAATCTTGGAATGTTCCACTTGAGTTTTCTCTCTCCTTTTTGGACTCAGCCTTTGCCTATAGACAAAGATATTTGCTTTCATAGACACTTTGTCACCATTTGGAATTTAGGGTTTTTTTTCTTTTCTTTTCTTTTCTTTTCGGGTTATGAGTTAAGGACCACAGCTTTTACTTTTCATCTCTCTCTGTGCCCTTTTTCTATACAGTCATGAACAACAACATGCAAACCTGTCAGCCAAGATGGCAAAGAAAATTCAGGAAGTTGCCTGAGCTCTTCCTAGTTTCCCTCAGAAACAATGTTATGTCAAGCCTATAAATGGATTCAGCTTAAGATAACATAGAAGGAATTCAGAAAAGATCTGCCTCACTTGGGTAAAAAGGGGAGCACAGCCCAGTGCAGATAGTGTTTAGGCAAGCCAGTGGGAGGCTCTTAGCCACAGCACAGATCAGCAGTGGAGGCCCCTTGGTCCTAGCTCAGCAGACCAATGCACAGCAGGCCAGCTTGGAGGCCTCCAGCCCCAGCACAGAAGGCAAACTACCAGCCCTGGAACCCCCGCAACAACAGGCATGACTAGGCCAGGCAGTCCTAGTGCAGTGAGCAAGCCACTAGCACCTGAGGCCCCGGCACAGAAAGCCAGTGATCAGGCCCCTGGATCCCGGTGCAAGAAGCTTGGGACAGTGGCCCCTATGTCCCAGGAGCAGAGCTCAACTTTAAAAGTCATGAAATAGGCTAAAAATGAGCAAAAAACAGAAAAGAGCCCCAATCATAGAAAGCTACTATGGCAACAGGGAAGATCAAAACACAAACTCAGAAGAGGACAACAATGTCAAAATACCTACATGCAAAGCCTCAAAGGGGAACATGAATTGGTCTCAAGCCTAAAAAGCCTTCTTGGAAGAGCTCAAAAAAGGATTTTAAAAATCAAATAAGAGAAGTAGAAGAAAAATTGGGAAAAGAAATGAGTTATGCAAGAGAGAGTCAACAGCTTGGAAAAGGAAGAACAAAAATTGACTGAAGAAAACAATTCCTTAAAAATAAGAATTGGGCAAGTGGAAACTAATAACTCTATGAGACATCAAGAATCAGTCAAACAAAATCAAAAGAATAAAAAAATAGAAAAAAATGTAAAATACCTCATTGGAAAAAACAGCTGACTTGGAAAACAGATCCAGGAGAGATAATTTAAGAATTATTGGACTATCTGAAAGCCATGATTTTAAAAAGAGCCTAGACAGCATCTTTCAAGAGATCATCAAGGAAAATTGCCCTGATATCCAAGAACCAGAGGGTAAAATAGTAATTGAAAGAATCCACTGATCACCTCTTGAAAGAGACCCCAAAATGAAAACTCCAAGTAACATTGTAGCCAAATTCTAGAACTATCAGGTTGAGGAGAAAATACTGCAAGTCACAAGAAAGAAACAATTCAAATATCAAGAAGGCATAGTCAGGATTACACAAGACTTAGCAGCTTCTACATTGAAGGTTTGGAGGGCTTGGAATATGATATTCCAGAAGGCAAAGCAGCTTGGATTACAACCAAGAATCAACTACCCAGCAAAACTGAGCATAATCTTTCAGGGGGAAAAGATGGATACTCACTGAAATAGGGAACTTTCAGACTTAGCTGATGAGAAGACCAGAGCTGAATAGAAAATTTGATCTTAAATACAAGGCTCAAGAGAAACATAAAAAGGTAAACAGGAAAGAAAAAAAAATCCATGCTATTCAATAAGGTTATACTGTTTACATCTCTACACGGGAAGATGATACTTATAACTCTTGAGAACTATATCTCTACTAGGGCAGTTAGAAGGTGTATACATAGAGAGTGTGGATACAAGTTGACTTTGATGATATAAAAAAAATTAAGGGGTGGAAAAAAAGGAAAGGGGGAGGCAGAACAGGCTAAATTACATCACATAAAGAGGCACAAAAGACCTCAAAAGACCACAAAAGACCTCAAAGACCACAAAAGGCACAAAAGTAGAGGGAAAGAAGGCAAGGGGTAAGTATTGTTTGAACTTTACTCTCATCAGATTTGGCTCAAAGAGGGAATAACATATACTCAGTTGGGTATAGAAATTTATCTTACCCTATAGGGAAGTAGGAGGGGAAAGGGGAAAAAAGAGGGTTGGGGGCTAATAGAAGGGAGGGCAGATCGAGGGAGGTGGTGGTCAGAAGCAAAACACTGGTGAGGAGGGAAAATAGGATGGAGAGAAAGACACAGATAGTAATCATAACTGTGAATGTGAATGGGATGAACTCTCTCATAAAATGGAAGCAAATAGAGTGGATTAAAAACCAGAATCCTACTATATGTTATTTATAAGAAACACATTTGAAGCAGAGAGATAAACACAGAATAAAGGTAAAAAGCCAGAAGCAGAATCTATTAAACTTCAGCTGAAGTAAAAAAAAACCAGGGGTAGCAATCCTGATCTTGGACAAAGCAAAAGCAAAAACAGATCTAATTAAAAGAGATAAGGAAGGAAACTACATCTTGCTAAAAGGTACCATAGGCAATGAAGTAATATCAATACTAAACATATATGTACCAAGTGATATAGCATCCAAATTCTTAGAGGAGAAGTTAAGTGGGTTACAGGAAGAAATAGACAGCAAAACTATACTAGCTAGGGACCTCAACCTCACCCTCTCAGAACTAGACAAATCTAACCACAAAATAAACAAGAAAGAAGTTAAGGAGGTGAACAGAATTTTAGAAAAGTTAGGTATGATAGACCTGTGGAGAAAATTGAATGAGGAAAGAAAGGAAAATATCTTTTTTTCATACCTTATGTAAGTACATGGCACCTACATAAAAACTGACCATTCATTAGAGCATAAAAACCTCATAATCAAATGCAGAAAGGCAGAAATATTAAATGCATCCTTTTCAGATCATGATGAAATAAAATTACATGTAATAAATAACAACAACATGCTCAGCCTGTCATCCAAGATAGAAAGAAACTTTTACTACTATAACTGGGCTTTCATTCACCGTGGGGGCATTGTGTATTTTTATGTATATTTGGGAGAAAGAGGAAGACTTTAGAAACTGCAGAGATGTAGGAGAAGAGAGCTCTTCAACATATCTCTGATTTCAGCTTACCTCCCTAGAAACTTTGGAGACTTGCCCCTTTGGTGAGATCAGGCTAGCCTCTTTTAATTTGCACTGAGATCTCATTTCATTCCCAGGGAAGAGCTCATCCATTATTGTGTATTTTCTGGTGTATTCCAATCTGTGTAACTTCTCTGATTGGTGTCTGGCATATAGTAAGTACTATATAAATGTTGTTTCTGTTTGCTGGGATAAAAAGGTTTATCCATTATTTGCTATTTGTGATATAACCAGCCTTTGGTGGGAAGGGTTAAGCCACCTGACCTCTTAAGAAAGTGCCTTTTGTTTTGAACTCTCTCAAATAATCCCATCCTATAGACCAACAATATGTATAGTAGCAGGTAGACATAATTCTAGTCTGGTACCCTTCTTGGAGGTTAGAGAAAAAAAATACTCATTCAGGACCCTTCTCCTGATTCCTCAAGGGGTGAGCAGAAATCTCAGGCTTATCTCTCCTTGCCTCTCACAACTCCATTTTGAACAACCCTTATCTTATTTGGTCATACATCCATCTTACACTATCAAGTGAAGCCTCTCAGGTACAATTGATCTGCAATAGGGCTGAACAGCAGTTACTATGATACCTGAATTGTCCAGAGGAGGAGAGAATTCTTGTTTGAGGACTCAAGCAAGCAGCATACTGTGGTGGAAAGAGCACTGACTCTGGAGTCACAGGGCCTGGGTTCGAATTCCACTGCTGATGCTTGATCTTTGGCAAGTTGCTAAACCTCTTTGAGCCACAATTTCTTCAACTGTAAAATGACACGGCCTAGATGGCCTGCAAGGTCACTTCCTGCTCCAAATACATGATTCAGTGGTCTATGATTTCCTTGTGCCTTATGCCTTTGGTAGCCCAGATCTTGGTCAACCTGGCTCTCTTAGAAGTCTGAATTATCTTTCCATTGTCACCCTACTTTTATGCTCTGGCCAATAAAATATTTTGTCTCTCTTCCTGAGGTCCCTCATCCACTGTTATTCCAAGTTCCAGTATGACTGGTACCTATGAACCCCTGTCTCTTCACAGTTTAGGATTGGGTCAGGGCAGGAAGTGATAGTACCATTAAGACAAAAGGCATTAGCAAAGCATATTTTAAAAATAAAAACAAAAAAAATCCCAGGATCATGGGAGCTCCTATCCCACACTTAACCTTTGGTGGATTGGTTGGATGGCTGCTCTCTGTTTGTCCATCTGGGCCTAGGAGAGCTAATCTGGGGGATGAAAGCTGCCCACCTCCCTCGGCAGAAACGGCTTGAAGAAGCAGTCCATGATCTTGAGAAGGCTCATGGTCAGGTTGCTGTTTGTGGAGGCAATCACTTCCTTCACTGACACTCGGACAAACTCAATGGACTCCTGGAAAAGACCAAGTTGAGAAGCCAGGCTGATGTCTGCCTCGTTCTAATTTTATTTCCCAAGCTGCAGTCCGCTCTCTGCCTTTTAAAGTGGTCTTAAAGAATTCGCTTTTCCCATGCTCACTGGACGTCAATCAAGTCAGTCAGTCAACAAGCGTTTATTAAGCACTATGTGCCAAGAACTGCGATAAGTGCTAGGGATACAAAGAAAAACAAAAACACGACCCCTATCCTCAATAAGTTCACTCTAGTCTTGGGGGGAGACAACACATGAAAAAATTATACATACAAGATATATACAGTATAAATGGCAAGTAATCTCAGAGGGAAGCACTAGCATTTGGGAGTCTAAGGAGACTGAGAAAGGACTTCTGAAGACAGTGGGATTTGAGTTGAGTCTTGAAAGAAACCAGGGAAGCTGGAAGGCGGATATGAGGAGGGAAATCCTTCTAGGCATGGGGGTTACAGAATCAGGAGATGGAGTGCTGTGTTCGAGGAATGACAACAAGGCCAGTGGGGGCATCCTGTTCTTAGAGAGTTTGGTGCTGAACAAATAGGGGACATTCTAGGAGTCCAGAGGCCGCTTTTGTCCTGAGAGGCCTCACTCACCTCCAGAAACCTCTGGAACAGGCTCTCAAACTTCTCCTGGAAAGGCATCATGAGGCTGGGGATCTTCCTCAGCCAGCATTCGGTGAAGGGCATGATTCCTAGGATGCTGGGCTCTAAGTAAACCATGCCACAGCGGGACACAGTGGCTGGAGAGGCGACCGCCAGGTCCTGGACTTCAAACATCATGGTCATTGACTGTAACCAACAAATTCAAAAGAGGCTCTGTCACCAGGGGGTTTTCCCTGAGAGCTCTAAGCAACTCTAAAGAGAGACTCTGTTCCCTGAGAGAAACAGTTCAGACAGAAATGGGAATGGGTCTAGCAAGAAGGGAGAGGCCTCCTGATGGCACCCACCATCTCGCTGGCGAAGAGATGATAGAAGAATAGCGACCCTGGATCAGACATGGAGGAGGGCACTGGGGTGGAGGTAGGCCTGGTTTGGAAGTTCATCAGATTTTGGAGCGAGAAGAGGAGACCTTAGAGATAGTCTAGTCAAATCCAGCTTTCTCTCAGTTTATGGAAGTAGAAGCCCAGAAATAAGTGGATTATCTTAGAAGTAGAACTGGGCTTTAGGTCTTCTAACTCCAAACTCCAAATCCAGTGAACCTTTTACTGCACCATGGCCATCTCCTGATTGGGAGACCTGGCATCTATTCCAATGTCATGTTTAGTGCACTTTGCCTCTGCTCCTCAGCTTCCCCACCAGTGAAATGGGAACAATCTCTCCCATATAACCCTCACTGTGCTCCAGCTTTGAGGGCACTCTGCCATGCAGTCTAAAGGATCGAAGCCCGAGTTACCCAGGGATATGAAAAGAGAACCCTCTTCTCACAGTGACTCCCGGGGGATCCTCCCAGCCCACACTGGGTTTGGGGCTGACACCATGTGGCTCCCTAGTCCTGCCGCACTGCTCCAGGGCTCTATGACAAGCCAGAACGTGGACAGGAAAGGAGGGAGGGACAAAAGGACACTGCCCACAAGGAAGATGTGTCACTGGGGACCGGTGCCAGCCCTACAGAGATGAAGCCCGAAGGTGGGCGGGTCTCTGTGAGCATCAGCTCAGAGAACCTGGATGCAAGGGGCTGACACGGGCAGTGCAGGCAGCCTTTCAGGCCCAGGATGGCCTGAAAGAAAAAGGCACCTCAGTGAGTTTGATGATTTCCCCAGAGCTGAGGCACAGCTTCTTGTTGTCATCCAGCACAGTGTTCATGTTCTCAATCCAAACTGCATCCACGGGACCATCAAACATGTACCATTTCTTGTCTGTGCCAGTGGAAACGGCCCCTTTCCGGATGAGAGAGGCAAAAATCCCATCGGTCCTATGGAAAGCGAGGGAGAATGGGAGGAAGGAACAGAGTGCATATATGTCAGGAAAGATGGGGGTAGGAAAGTCAGAAGACTAAATGTCATATGGCTGGGCATGGCCACCATTATGAAAAAGAGCAGTGGGAAGGAGTAGTGGAGGGACTAGGAAACTGGGCAGCACAAAGGCCCAACCTTGGGGCTGGGGCCAGGTTCTCAGGGGGTTCCGGTTCACTGGGAAACACAAATTCCAGAAAGAGCTCAGCTTCCCCAGACCCCAAGTAGGATTGAAGAGACAGAACTTTACCATTCATGTGTTAGCAAGTCAAATTCCCCATACAGCTGACCCATGGTGATGGATTTGGGATTGAGGACATAGTAACTGACAGCCTCATACACGCCACCACTAATGGAAGGCTTGCCTTTCAGGGATGTCATTGCAGCTGCCAAGACCTTGTAACACTGGTGAGACAGAGATGTAGGAGAAAGTCTAACTCTGAAGAGGCAGAAGATACATGAAAAAAGAGTCTTGAGTTGGATCCTAAGGGTCTGCCCCACCTCTTTAGGGGACTTTAGGCAAGTACCTTTCTCAGGAGGCCTCAGTTTCCCCATCAGGAGAGTGACAGAGCTAGCCCACAAGATCTCGAAGGGCCCTTTGTGCTCTATGATCCTGACTATGAAAAGCAGCCATCCTGGTTTCTAGGCCTGGGAACAGGGTTAGGAATGTGGTGCAGCTAGAAGTACTTCATTCAGGTGGCTGACAATCTGTGTTGGGCGAGGCACATGTCAAAAACAGAAATCAAGTGCCCTCCTCTTAGCCCAAAAAAAGAATGGATTCGGGCACCAAGCCATTTCTAATTTCCCGAACCTGCACTTGGCTTCTGCTGCTGCTGCAGAACTAATCAGCCCTATCAGGACCTTCACCAGCTCTTAAGCAGTGCCAAGGGTGTTCACTGGGTAAGCCCATCTTGGCAGGGAGTTGGGGACCCAGTAGGTCCTTTCTGTCTCTTAATTTCTTGGGCTGCCCCTCCACTGACCTTAGAGAAGCTTTCTGTAAGAGGAAAGTAAAGGGGCAGCTAGGTAGCGCAGTGGATAGAGCACCAGCCCTGGAGTAAGGAGGACCTGAGTTCAAATCCAGCCTCAGACACATAACACTCGCTAGCTGTGTGACTCTGGGCAAGTCACTTAACCCCAATTTCCTCACTTAAAAAAAGAGGAAAGTAAGTACTCAGAATAACTACAATGTCTCCTTCATCCTGCCATCCCTTAAAAACACATGGATAACCAAAGGTTTCCTTTTCACTTGCAGGTGAACAGGAAAGCACTCACAAACAATATGGGAGGTGCTAGAGTTTCTGAGCCCTTGCTTCCAGCTCCTTGCTGAGACCACACGTTGGTGATTTCAGGGCAACCTGAGATGATCGACCCTCTCTGAAGTCAGGGCTGCCATCCACGGTTAGCAGATGAGCCCAGGGCAGGGTAATGGAATATATTCCCTCTTCCTGCTCCCCCGGCTCTCAGCCCAACCCAGGGGACCCGAGTGTAGCCTACCTCAGTCATGGGAACATTCTTACCTTGGTCTTTCCAGAGCCAGCAGGTCCCACAAGCATGAGACCATGGCGCACCACCGTGGTCTCATACAGTTGGATACATTTGGTTAGAAAGCCTGGAGGAAGGAAGACAAGGATCCTCTAGACTTGGAATCAAAGTTCTTTGCCACTTGTGTGACTTTGGGCAAACCACTTTTTTTATATTATATTTATGTTTATAATATATAATATTTACATATTATATACAATTATATATAATTATATATATAATATTTATATAGGGATCTTCCTAAACCACTCATTTTTAATGGGATTGGATGAGATAAAATCTAAGCCCTCCTACAGCAATAAATCTTCTGATCTTATGATATCAAAGTCAGCCAGTCATTCTTGCACATATAAGCTGAGTATAGTCATACAGAAAAAAAGGGGAAGCCATTCAAAAATACAGATAGGATGATTTGTCATTGTAAAGAACTGGAAACAACCTCAATATCCAACGGTTGGTAAACGGTTGAATAAATTCCTCTAAAAGCAGCGTACAAGGCCCTGTCCCGGGTCTTCTCTTCTCCTACAATACCTCACTTGGTGACCTTGTCGGCTCCCATGGGCTCCTCTCTCTCTCTTTCTATGCAGCTGATTTCCAGATCTCTCCTCATCTCTCTCCTGAGCCCTGGTCCTGAATCACAAACTAACCATCTCTTGGACATCTCAAATTGAATATCTCAGGCATCTCGAATTCAACATTCCAATACAGAGCTCATTATCTTTCCCCCTAAATCCTCCCCTCTTCCCAACTTTCCTATCAATACTGAGAGCACCACTAGCCTCCCAGGCATGCAGACTGAGGCATCTGGTGGCACAGTGGCTAGAGCGCTGGGCCTAGAGTCAGCAAGACCTGAATTCAAATCTGACCAAATCTCACTTACTGACTATGTCACTTTGGGCAAGTCACTTAACCCCTGTTTGTCTCAATGTCCTCAACTGTAAAATGGGGATAATAATAACAACCACCTCCCAGGGTTGTTGTGAATCAAATGAGATCATAACCGAAAAGCCTGGCATATAGTAGGTTCTAAGTAAATAGCATTTCCCTCTTTCCCCCCAGTGTTGTCAACACTTCCCTTGCACTTGCTTCACACGACCAATCTCTTGTCAAATCTCGTCATTTTAAACTTCCCAACATGCCCAGCTCACACAGCCAACGCCCTCGGACAGGCCCTCCTGGCTCCTCACCTGCACCACTGCCAAAGCCTTCAAGTCAGCTTCCCTGACTCAGGTCTCTCTTCACTTCAACTCACCCTCCACTCAGCTACCAGAGGGATCTTCCTAAAGCACAGGTCTGACCGTGTCACCTCCCTTACTCAATAACCCGCAGTGGCTCCCTCGGACCTCCAGGATCACCCAGAAAATCTGCTTGGCATTTACAGCCCTTCACAACCTGGCCCTTCCTGCCTCCGTGCACTCCTGGATCTGGCTACACTGGCCTCCTCGCTGATGCTCACCTGTGATACTCAGTGCCTTTTCACTGGCAGGCCCTCGTGTCTGCGATACTTTCCCTCCTCGCCTCCCTGAGTTCCCCAGGTACCAGCTCCCTCCCTCTGAGACTGTCTTTCATTCACACTCTATAGAGCTTGTACGTTTGTTATTATTTGCATGTTGTCCACCGTGTTGGAATGTGCGCTTCTTGAGACTAGGGACTGTGGGTCCTCCCCACTGCGTGGCACATGGTAAACACATAACAAATGCTTGTTGACGGATGACTAGAACACTGTAATACTGTCTATGATGACAAATACAAAGAATATTCATGCGGTAAGATTTCTGAGTGTCTACCTCGTCTGCAGACCTAGAGGTTAGGTGCTTTAGGGCATGTCTTGGCCTCAGGGTTAGTTCACCCTGCAGTGCCCACCAATGGCACAGTGTGGCTACTTCTGGGAAGCAGGACCCCATCCTGCCCCTCTGAGGGAGGGCTCACTCACCGTCTACATCTTTCAGATTGTCCTGTAAGCAGGCCTGGCGGATCGCTTGGTCCAGGATACCATAATCTATGCTATCCTCCTTGATGTTAGGGAACAAATCAGACACAATGCCTGAAAAGAGCTTGAGATCATCTTGCAGGAACTTGGGCACGTTCACATCCCGAATGGCGTGGAGGCAGATCAGCTCCTACAACACCACTAGGATCAGGTTCTTTCTGGGAGCTCCTTTCCCTCCTGACCCACTCCTGCCAGCCCAGACCCCCAGAAACTGTGTCTGGGTTCTTGGGGACTGGTTTCCTCTTGGGGTGTCTCCCCAGAGGAATTCTTCCACATGGAAGACAGCTCAGAGGCAGAGACTGAGTCAGGGCTGGCCCTGAGTCACTGATGCTTACTTCATTCATAGTTGGGTTCTCCCGCTTCAGATTGCCAGCTGCAGAGATAACGGTCTTCACAGCTCTCATCCCAAAGTCATAATGATCCTGTTACCACAAGGAGAAGGAACCATGTTGAATCTTAAAGACATCTTACGGTCAAAGAAGAAGAAGCTAATAGACTCAATACTCTACAGACCATCTAGTTCAATCCCTCTTTTCCCAGGGTTTAAATCCTAACTCTGCCACTTATGGAATGTGTGACCTTGGCCAAGTCACGTCCCTCTCTGAGTCTCCATTTCCTCATATGTAAAACAGGTGTACTTATGCTTGCATGACCTAACTTACAGGTTAGGAGAAAAATGTCAGCTTTTAGGAGGAATTCCTACCGATCCTTTAAAGCCCAATTTAAATGCTTCCTCCTCTAGGAAGCCTTTCCTGCTATCCCTTCAGACTTCACACAACATTGTGCAAGAGCTCTTTTATTCATTTATCATGCAATATATTACCACTATCTGAGGTTTCTGTCCAATCTATTTTGTATCTTATTCCTAGACTGGGATCTCCACGAGGGCAGGGACCATGTTTTATATAAACATAGTGTTTCTCCCAGGGCTCTGCACATAGTAGATTCTTGATAAATGTCTGTTGAATTGGAATTTAATTTCTTTCTTCTTTAACGGTCTAGTATTTGGCCTGTCTCAGAAAACCCTGGAGAAGTGTACCTGGAGGACTCTCCCCATTCATTAGAAGATGGTCACAGTCCTTTTCTTTAACTATTATTCTGATGATGTCACAAAGCATAGATAGGTGGAACCAGATCTGGGGTCCTGAAAGACCTCAGAGGAGGGCAGGAAGGAGCCTGAGTTTAAGTCGAGGTTTGGGAATCACTAGACTCAGGATTCCTGGAGATGCAAAGGAGTCATACTACACAGCACATTCAGCAAGTGGTCTTAATTCAACCTCAAGTAACACTGAAGTGGTCAGAGGACATAATTTTCAGAAAAAGAAATTCAAGTGATTTATAATCATGTGGGAAAATGTTCTGAATTGCTCATAATTTGCAAAAAAAATGCAAATGAAAAGAATTCTGAGGTTTCCTCTCACAACTATCCAATTGGCCAAGATGATTTAAAAAACAGAAACAATAGACATTGCAGGGGCTGTAGGGATATAGGCACATGAAGACACTTGGTGGAATCATTTCTTTTCTTTCTTTATTTCTTTTTTTTTTTTAGGCAGTTGGGGTTAAGTGACTTGCCCAGGGTCACACAGCCAGTAAGTGTCAAGTGTTTGGTCTGAGGCCGGATTTGAACTCAGGTCCTCCTGACTTCAGGGCTGGTGCTCTATCCGCTGTGCCACCTAGCTGCCCCTGTGGAGCCATTTCTTAAAACAATTTGGAATGATGCAATAAGTCATTTCACTCTTTATACCTCTGACCCAGAAATCTCACTGCTGGGAATACAACCCAAGGAAATCAAAGACTGAAACAAAGGTCCCATATAAAACAAATATTCTTAGCAACACTCTCTGCAGTAGGAAAAAAATAGAAGCAAAGTAGGTAGGTGCCCATTGATTACTGAAAGGCTGAACAATCTTTGGCCTATGAATGAGATGGAATATTGCTGCACTGCATGAAATGACACATATAAAGAACTGAGGCAAAAACGAGAACACTTGAATGAAGTGATGCAGAATGAAGAAAGGAGAACCAAGAGAACGACATACACTATGACTAAAATAATGTAAATGAAGAAAAAGTTAAAAGGCAGTTAGACTCAGAGTAAGTGCAATAAATAATCTTGGCTCCAAGCAAAAGAGGAGGAAACACACGTCTTTTCTCTCAGTAGAAAGGTAAGGGACTATAAGGGCAGAATATGGCATACGCTGTCAGACCTAGTTGCTCTGTCGGTTTTGTTACAAGCGTGGACTCAGTGCAAGGGGCGGGGTGCAGAGGAGAGGGATAAATTATTTCAGGAAATAATGTGATGGTTTTAGTAAGTGGCATCTTTCAAAAATTGGGAAAAAGAAACAGGCAGAAACACATCAACTGGGGATTCAAACACAGTCTGATCACTGAGTTAAATGCAATCAAATTTACTTAAACTTAAACCATGTACCTATAACTTACCTACCTGTATACAAAATAAAGTCGTTTTTATCCCTTTAACTGAGCTTTACTTTGCTAAAGATTCTCTTTAAAAGAGAGTATCAGACTTTCCTCACTCTGATATCTGAAATTAACACATTCTTCACCTCTTAACTCGTCTGCCTGGAGTCTTCTCCTCCTGCCTGCTCTGAACTCTGGCTGTGGCATTCCCCCCTTAGCCTGGCCTCCTGGAAGAGAGAAGCCTAGTCTCTGGAGTGTGTGTCATCCTCTTTGGGACAGGACAGCTATGGCCTGAGGAGTGAAACTGGACCCAGCCACGAGCTCAACTTGGCTTCCTTAAGGACTCTCATGAACTCTGAGATCAGAGCAAGGGAGGGAGGGCCTGACCTGGGAACTAAGTTGCTCAGATGACAGCTTGAATGTTGTGGTGATCTTCTTGGCCAGGACTTTGGCATCGCTGAACCCAAAGGAGTAGAGAGAGATCTCAGCAATCATGGTGTAGTCTGGAACCATCATTGCCACAGGTCTGAAGAGAGCCTGCGGGAGCACGAAGAGGAGTGCCATCATGGTGGTCATTGACCTTTCCTCCCTAAGCACAGGTGGGTGGGGAAACTTATTCTACACCGGGTCCTGCAGCGTCACTTTTCTCAAAGCCCATTCCAATCGTGGGAAGGCAGGCCACTTAAGGGAAGCACCCCAAACAAACCAATAAGCAACAAGCATTTGTTAAGCACTTACTACGTGCCAGGTACTGTCCTAAACACAGAACAGCAAAAACAGTCCCTGTGCTCAAAAATGGAGGAGGAGAAAGGTGGCATTTGAGTGGAGTCTTGGAGGAAGCCAAGGATAGATGGCAGAGCATGTCAGGCACAGGAGACAGCTGTGGCAGAGGCCCAGAGATAAGAGGTGGAGTGCTGTACGCAGGAAGAGGCAAGTAGGCCAGGATGGCTGGAGTGTACAACATATAGAGGAGAGCAAGGTGTAGGAAGACTGAAAAGGTAGGAAGCAGCCAGGGTGTGAACAGCTTTAAGTGCCAACAAAGGACTTTACAATTGATCCAGGAGGTAGCTTGGACCCACTAGAGTTTATCGAGGAGGAAGTGATGTGATCAGAAGATTTGGCCTGTCCTGTGCATGGCTCAGCCCCCACCCCAGGCTCTCTCGTGCAGGCCTGCCCGCAGTGATAATGCTTCCTATCCCCTTTTATCCAACTCCAATCAATCCACAAACACCCATTAAGAACCTACTCTGTCCCAGGCTCTGAACTAAGCATTGGAATTTAAAAAAAAAAAAGGCAAAAGACAGTCTCTGACCTGGAGGAGCTCTAAGTCTCAGGACTCTTCCTTATCTCTTCCCAATCCCTTGATCCCCACATCCAATTAGCTGGCAAGCAGACTTGCCAATCCTGTCTCTGTAACCTCTCTGGCATACACCCTATTCTCTCCACTCATACACCTCGGACCTTAGCTCAGACTCTCATTCACCTGAACTAATGGAACAGCTTCCTAACTGGTGTCCATGCCTCCAAGCTCATCCCTCTCCAATCTGTCTTTCACATTGCTGCTAAACTGATATTCCTACTCCAAAATCTTTTTGTTGTTGTTCAGTAGTTTTCAGTCCTATCTGACTCGTCGTGGCCCCATTTGGGGTTTCCTTGGCAAAGATACTGGAGGGTTTGCCATTTCCTCCTCCAGCTCATTTTACAGATAAGGAAACTGAGGCAAGCAGGGTTAAGTGACTTGGTCACACAACAAAAATCTTTAATTGCTTCTTAATACCTCCAGGTAAGATACAAATCATCAGCCTGGCATATTGAGAGCTCCCCACAATCTGGGTTCTACCTTCCTTCCCAGTATTATTTCATGTGAATCTCCTTCATATGATTTCCATTCCAGCTCAAATACCATGACAGCTGTTCCCTGTACAAAGTGCTGTATCTCTGCCTCAAGACCGACGCCCCCAGCAGTGCCCACATCTGGAATGCGTTCTTCTCTTCACTGATGTCCTGTAGAATTCCTAGCGTCCTTCAAAGCCCAGGACACAGCAAAGCACTGTCTGCTCAAGGCCCTTCCTGATCCATCCCAGTCACCAGTGCGTCACCTCCCAGAAATGGCTTTGTATATACTTTGTATGTACTTACTCAAGTCCACGGTGTATCTGCACATATAATATAAACTTTTTGATGACAGAGTTTCATTCTTTGTGCTTAGCACAGACCCTTGCTTAATAAATATTTATAGAAAGGAATTGTGTGGAATTTAATCCATAGATACCAAAAGGGAAAGCAAATCAGGAAGAGACCTGAGCAGGAAGGCTGACTGGGTGAGTAATAACATGCTTCTTGAATTACATTCACATCCATTCTCTTGTTTAAGCCCCATGAGTTCAGCCAGGGTACTATCATTATCGACATGATCTTACACTATATAAATGGTGAAATAGATCCAGAGGAGAAGTGACTTACCCAAGGCCACACAGCCTGTTTGAGCATCGCAAGGACTAGAGCCCAGATCCACCGGTCCCCAGTGCCTTTGTGGGCCAGTGTACATGGGACTTACCTTCAAGTTGTCAGGTAACTCAGTGCGTCCAGCATAGCCTGGGTTCATAGTGATGAACACAGCACACGAGGGGACGAGTGGGATTTCAACTCCTTCAAACATGAATCGATCTACCTACAAAAAGATGACTCTCAGTCTTCCTGGGGAAGGGACCCTTAGAACAGCTTCAGAGAAGCCCTCCTAGACTCCCAGGAGTACACAGGTCCTTCCTTGTGGTCTGCCAAGTGACCTAACACCAGCCGTCCTCCCACTTTCTATGTGACAGCCCCTTCCTAAGGGCACAGAGATACTCAGAGATACTCAGATTCACTGATCAAGTTAAATTCTTCTTATATGCTAATACAGAAGCTCCAAATCCATTGGTATCAAAATGTAGGAGCCCCTTGAGACAGGATATCTGTCTAAGAATCAGATCCTGCTCCTGCTCCCCCAACTGCTCCGGCTGCCCCATGGGGTGCTCATCAAGTGTTTGCAGAAGGAGCAAATGAACCAACAAACCAAATTCCCTTTTTAAAAGCTTTTCAATGACATTTTCACTGGGGAAGTGAATGATGCATAGAGAGCAGAGAACTGAGGTGATTTTAACTAAAGAGGTTTCCAATATCCCCCCAAAGACAAGAGCTCTTAAGATGCCAATGAGTTGGGGCCTCCTCTAATGGCAGTGAGGGATTACAGGCCACTAGGCAGCTCTCCCAGCCTAGCCCCTACTCACTCTCTGCTGCTGAGCTTTCTGAATGGTTGTGATCTGCTGAGCCACCACAGACAGCACCTCCACATCAATGCGGTTAAATTCGTCAAAGCAAGCCCAGGCCCCGGAGCTAAGCAGAAAGTAAGCCTGATGAGTAGGCAGCACCAGTACCCAGAGTCTCAGTGCCCTGCCCGGCCTGAGGCTCAGCTCAGCCTGCAGGGACCAACCTGAACAGAGGCCTCCCTCTTGGTTCTGTACAAGAGGAGGTCCATCACCTCCCAGACCACAGGGATCTGGGCCTATAGCACTGTCCTGGATCTTAGCACAGACTGTCTCCTCAGACACACTGTAACCTTCTGCCCCTCCAATGCCCACACAGCAGACTGTACATACTATACTATAAACATTCAATTTATAGTTATTGATTTATGTTGCCTGGGATACCAAACTCTTGCTGCTGACTATCCAGCATGGGGAAGAAGCCACGGGGTCCGATGCCAAGTCTCTAAGTGTGAAGGAAAATCACACCCTTTCTGTTTCACAACAAGACCTCCCTAGCAAACCTCTGAAAATCCTCTCCAAACCAATCTTCAAGTTTAGGGGCACTCCCCCTAAGCCTCCCAGCTTCCCTCCATCTTTCGATTGCACTTCTCTTTAACCTGACCCTCCCCCACAACTGCTAACTGGCTGCCAAGTCCTGCCAGCTCTTCCTCACCCCTATCTCTTTCTTTCTCTCCACTCAGCCTGCCATCATTCTAACTCAGGTCCTTATCAACTCTCTCTTTGGCCACAGCTTTAATGAGAAATATTCAAAACTGGGGGCAAGAAGGAAGAAAGAGGAATGGGGAGACAGAGACCCTGGGACACTGGCAAGGGCTGGGAAGGAAAAAGCATACCCCCGAAGACTGGCTATTAACTTCCTTCTTAACTAATTACTCTTGTTAACCATTTGCTAGTTAAGTCATTTGTTCCGGTCCAGGGGCCCCAGGATGGAAAATATAGGGTGGTGAGAAACTTGGTACTCTTCCCCACCCACCCCTCTCTCTTCCACCACCACCATCTCTGCACACAGACATGACCCTAAGTACTTGTCCCTCTCCCTCTTCACACTGGTGGTTGAATGAGGCCGGGAAGAGTGTGATGGAGAGCCAGAACCCTCCACCCAGGGGCAAAGGCAGGGGAGCAGGGGCCTCCCTGTGCACTCACCTAGAGCAGACTAATGACTTTGGGCCCCACTTGTCCCATCCCCCAGCGGAGGCACGGCTGGCCTGCTAGAAGGCATTCACTGAGGGAACAGTTCTGGCCTTGACTATTGTAGTAGGCTTCTAACTGGTCTCTCTGCTCTCTCCTGTCCAATTCATCTTTCACAGGACTTTTTGTTGTTCAGTCATTTCAGTAGTGTCTGACTATTCATGACCCCATTTGGGTTTTGTTTTGTTTTTTTTCTTGGCAAAGATACTGGAGTGATTTGCCATTTCTTTTTCCAGCTAACTTTACAGATGATGAAACTGAGGTAAACCGGGTTAAGTGACTTGCCCAGGGTCACACAGATAGTAAGTATCTGAGGTCAAATTTGAACTCAGATCTTCTTGACTCCAGGCCTGGCACTCTCTCCACTGCACTTAGCTGCCCTTCACAAGGCTACCTAAATAATCCAAATGTACAAGCCTGGGGCAGCTAAGGACCACAGGAGAGAGAATAACTTGGCTTCAGGAAGATCTGAGCCCAAATCCTGCCTCAGACACTAGCTATGGGGTCCTGGGCAAGTCATTTAGCCTCTCTCAGTCTCAGTTTCCTCATCTGGAAAATGGAAATAATAAAAGCACCTACCTCACAGTGTTGTTGTAGGGATCAAAGGAGAGAGCATATGGGAAGCACTGTGCAAACCTTGAAAAAAAAGTGTGGCATAAAAAATACCCCAGTCTGACCATAAACTGTCCTTTCCTGGCTCCTGTTTACTACAAACCCAGGAGCCAGGGATTGGTCTGGCTCTTCCCTTCACACACCCTCTGCTCCAACAGTGCCAGACAACCATCTGGTGCTGGATCACATTCTACCCTCTCTTGCTTCACGTCTTCCTCCTCATTAGGCCATAAGTTTCTTGAGGTCAGAAACTGTCTTTTCCATCTTTGTATCTGTAGCACTGAGTATAGAGCCTGGGAGACACAAGGCCCCAGTGGGGCACGATGCAGATAAGGCCTGGCAGCCTAGAACAATGGCCTACCACAGTTTCGGTTCCACACTATCCTGTGTGCTGGGGCGGGGAAAGAGGGGAAGTGGTCAGACGTGACTAGTCCTACCAGCTGGAGGAAGCTTCTTCCAGCCATGGCAAAAGCCCAAGGACCACTAAAAGTCCCCTGGCATGCCATCTTTTCCACGCATATCACGGACATCGAACAAAAGCACAGAATCTCAGAATCTCAGAATTGGAAAAAATCCCAGAGGCCATCCAGCCCATCCCGTATCTGAAGAGTCCCCTCTACGGTCACTCTGGCAAACGGTCATCAGGCCTTTCTTTACTTGCAGGCATTCCCTCCTAAGGAAACCCATTTCACCTCTGGACAGTGCTAATAACTTCTGCCCCATTAGTCCCAGTTCTGTCCTTCAGGGACCAGCAGGACAAGTCTAAACCCTCTTCCAAGAAGCAGCTCCTGGAGTGAAGGATGTTGCAGCCAAGTGCCTTCACAAGTCTCCTTTCTACTCCCCCCTCCCCTTCCTTTGCCTCTCGCAATGTCTCCTTCATCGGTGGCTGTTTCTGGCTCCCCATCATTGGGACAGAAACGCTCGGCCTCCTTAGCCCAAGACCCACGGGGCAGACTTCCCACGTGGCTGCTCCCCTGACTCTTTCCCTGAAATGGGACTCTCACCTAGCGAGACCTTTGAAGAACTTGCCCATAGCCATGAAGTCCAGCTGGTCAGAGCAGTTGAACACCACTGTCTGGATGGCCAAGGCTTTCCCCAGGTCCTTGGTTGTTTCTGTCTTCCCAGTCCCTGCTGGGCCAGCAGGCGCACCCCCAAATTTGAGGTGCAATGCCCCAGTCAAAGTCAGATAACACCTACACAAAGGAAAGAGGAAAGGAAGAATGATGGCTGACACAGCTGAAGATCTTTGAGGTCTGAGAGTGTCGTCCACCTTTCTCATCTGATCCTCACCACCACTCCGCAAAGTAAATGGTACAAGTGTTACCTCTCAGAGAGGTGAAGTGATTTGCAGAGACTCAGAGGAAATGTGGAATGCACTAAGCAGGGCCAGTTTTTCCCTTCTAGGGCTCCAAGCCATCATTCTTACTCCTTAACACCTGCACACGGACTTTTGCCCCCACCCACAGACACACCACCTCTTCCAGAAGCTCTGTCTTGACTCATTCCTAGCTACTGCAAGGCTAGGCTACATCAGAGAACTACAGAGGGCCCCCACCGGCTGAATCCTCAGAGACCATCTGACCCAACTCCATCACTAGATGGATGGAAACTGAAGCCCAGGAAAGATAAGCCACACAAATTCTTAGAATCACAGACTCTCTGGGTTGGGAGGGAAGACATGTACTGTCCCACAGATTTATGGAGATCAATGAAGGTGGCAATGACACAGAGCTTCTGGTGCTAAATGGAAGTTGGTCAAAGCTAGAGGACAAGGCGCAGCCTGGCATCCCGTGGCCAGAATTAAAACTCTCGTGTCTGTGGGATTCCCGAGTACATAAACTGAAATTACTCTCTTTGTCTAGTTTGACCTTGTCAAAGTACCACACCCCTGAGGCTTGAATCCTAGACGTCACCACCGCCAGACTCTCTCTTTGCTGTGGATTTCTGGTTTTGATTGTTGTCTTCTGCCCACTGATTTGTCTGTCTGGTTTCTGATTGTCTTGGAACGCCAATCTCCTGACCTTACCCTGAGCTAGTACTTTTCTGCTTTTCCGTGTTCCCCAAGCTAGAAAGAATTCAATCCGCACCACAGATCCTACTAGCCATGGGCTTCACTAGACCCCGGCTGAACTCAGACACTAGCATCCCCTATACAGCAGGTTTCTATGAACCAAGTTGTTGGTTCAAAGTGACATGAAGCTTCTGAGCGCCCAGTGTGAGAGCCTGAAAAAGCAGCGGATTGGTCATTGCTCAGGAGAGTGTGAGAAGATGACACAGAGCCAACAGACGCCTCCTTTACCTGTCTGTGAGGGGGGTAATCACCAGGCGCCCACTATTGCCCAGATACTCATAGCCATAGATGAATTCAGCATTGACTGCACGGATGTACAAGTCGTTCGTGGTCCAGTAGTACCTGGAGATTTAGAAAAACTGAGTTCAGATTCATGGGGCAGGAGAAGGGCATCTTGGGGGAAGGGTGGCTGTTCCAGGGGAAGGAGCAAGGGTGAGAACATCACAAAATGATCTGACTTCTTGGGGTGCTCAGGTCAGGTGGTATACTAGGGCCGGCAGCCAGATGATGTTACCCTAGGCAAATTTTCTCAATTTGTATGCAAGCCAAGGGTACAAAGTGGGGCTAAATTACTTTTGATGGGTCAGATGCATCTCTACGTTTTTCTGAGCAACTGGAAGAACTCTGTACAATTCATATTGTACAGAATATGGTCCTATTCTCTCTGAGAGTTTCTGGTCCTCCCCCATTCCTCACTAGTATAAAGAACCTCCTGGTAGTGAGGAGGGCTGCTGCAGAGGCCCTAGGCTAGGTCAGGATCTGTGGGATGGAGCCCACCCCTCTGCTCCTTCTCCTACCCTTATGCTCTAGCTTTGGTCCACTCAGGCCACCCTGAGCAAGTCCCGAGGGCTCCAAACTATACCGATAAGATATCAATACCTGCCAGTCATCATAGCCCCGCAAACACTGAACAGCTGTGTTGGGATTGCACTGAAGGATAATTATGAAGGGCAGAAGCTGTCTGGGGCTGCAGTAGGTCTGTGGCAGGGTCTGATGGACATGGGGAACAACTATATTGCAGGTTACGCCCAGGACTGGCTTCTGCCCTAGTACAAAGCATGGAAGAAACTTCAGCCAAGAAGTGACCAAACAAATTTTGGTACATCAACATGGTATACCAACCAATGCCCTTACAAGGCAGAAATACGGCAAGATTTCAATGAAATGATGCAAGGCATAGAAAGCAGAATCACAAGAACAGCCTATACACTGCTTGTGACAAAACAAAAAGTAAGACATATTTCTATATCTAAAAGGAAAAAGGTGAGGATTAAGAAGAAGAAGATTAGGGGGTGCAGCTAGGTGGCGCAGTGGATAGAGCTCCAGTCTTGGAGTCAGGAGGACCTGAGTTCAAATTCGGCCTCAGACACATAACACTTACTAGCCGTGTGACCCTGGGCAAGTCACTTAACCCCATTGCCTAGAAAAAAAAAAAAACAAAAAGACAAAAACAAACAAACAAACAAACAAAAAGATTAGAGGCAGCTTGGTGGCACAGTAGATAGAGCACTGGCCCTGGAGTCAGAAGAACCTGAGTTCAAACCTGGCCTCAGACACATGATACTCACTAGCTGTGTGACTCTGGGCAAGTCACTTAACCCCAATTGCCTCACCAAAAAGCAAAAAAAAAAAAAGAAGAGGATTAAGGAGAAGTTGATCATTGGATTGTACGGCTAAACTGGGGTTTTTCAGGTTTTGTTAGTTTGGGAGGGGTTTTTTGGAGATTTTTTTTTAATTAAAAAAGAGAAGCATCATAGCTTAGTAGATAGAGAGCTGCCCTCAGAGCCAGGAGAACCCGAGTTCAAGTCTCCCCTCTGATGCAGACCGGTTTGTGACTCTGGGCAAGTCAACACCCCTCCCAGGGCTTTGGGCATCTCTCCAGGTTTCAGAGGAGGTGTCAATCTGCTCTAGTAGAGCAAGTTTCCTTGTGTCAGTGAAATAACGGGAGCAGTTCCTACCCTGTTCTGCCACCTCAGTTTCCCTGGTTTCGTGGTTTCTGGCTACCTGGCTTTGACCACTGCCTCTGGCTCTGTCACCAGCCCTTTCTCCTGCCTAGCTCAGCTCCTAACCCGTTCCCTCAGCCACACTGTGGCAGCTCCAGTCCAACCTTCCCTGCCTCTATTCACCCTGTGTGCTGGTTTGCTAGCAGCTCTCTCTGTCTGCTCAATTTAGCACGGCAACAGAAAAGAACTGGTCAAGCTGAGAAAGGCGGTCATTTACCTTAGCTGGGAGATCCACTCAAAGTCATTCACACTGACCACATTCTCATCTATCAGTCTGGCAGCCACATCCTTAGCATGGACCTCAATGACAATGAGTGCTGACAGCACAGCTCTCTGCATCCTAGACAGCTTCCCTCGGACGAGGGCCACCAGATCCTGCAGCTGAGGGAGGAGGGGAGACACTTGAGGTCCCTTAGCCGCTTCCCCGCTGCCCACCAAAGAAATACCAGCCCCAGCCATTCATCTCACCTCTGTTTCTGGAGCATCCAAGCTAATCAGGCTTGGGAGCACAAGAAGACAGAAAATGGGAGTCAACAGACAGACAAGTGGGTGGGTAGGAGGCATTTGGGGCACTTGGCCCACTGGTGCTATTACTATGGAATGAAGGGGAAATGTAAGCACATCTTGGCATTGGATGGCTGAGGAAGGAAGACTGGAAGGAAGTGTGGCATTCTCCTATATGGGTGAGCCTATGCTAATTGTGCGGTTTGGGGCTGGAAGGAAAAGGCTTTCAAGGGGCTAGAAGAGGAATCTTCACTATTTAGAAACATGGGTGATGGTCCTTTTCTTAAAACTCTCCAGTGAGACACCCTCAAGTTCACTTCATGCTGGGCTGACTGACAGTAGCCACCTCATGGCAACCATCCAAGGTGGCTGCATCCAAGATGGCTGCCAGGAGTGTTTCTAGTGGTTATATTTGCTGAAAGGCTTTAAAAGAGGATCCTGTTTTAATGTGGGGGGGGGGGGCAGTGAAGGGGAAGAAATTGCAGTATGTAAATGCAGATTGTGATTTTCATTATAAAATAAACATTAAAACCTAAAAAAAAAAACCCCAAAAACCTCTCCATGGAAAGAGATTTTCAAGTCTTCCCAAGGTTCAGTCCTCAACTGGAAAGGCCTCCATATACCCATTTCTTATCCCAGTACATGGCAACAAGCTTTCATCAGGAGTTGAGTCTGGGCTTCTCGATCTATTTCAGAAGGCCTGTCTGAACAGGTCAGTATAGCGTTTTCATCTTTGTGTCACCCATAGCCCAGGACAGGGTCCTGTACACAGTAAGAACTCCGTGAATGTGGGCTGAATCCGACTGAAACAGACAGAATTGCTCCTTTTGTTTGCTTTCAGAGAGAGCTAGCCACTGGTGCCACTGTCAGGACAAAGCAGGCAGGGCCTTTTCCAGTGCTTCAGGGGGGACACACAACAACAGCCAGAGGACAGGGCCCTGTCCGAGAGAGTGAGGTTAAGGGAGGGCTGCTGCTTCCTCACCTGAACAGAGAGCTGTGGGAACAGTCGGCTCTCTAAGTCTCCGGCCTCCAGGGCCTCTGACACCTCCTTTGTCCAAAAAGTCTGACAGCCAGCAATGGTCACCTGGCCTGGCCAACTCAAGACCCACTGAGGCCTTGGGGTCTGAAAAAACAGAATGCTTCATCTGATCAAGGATCTATGACCTTGCACCGGCCTTCCTCCCCCTCAGACCCCCTGAGCTCTACAGGGATGCCTCTGTGTGGCTGACCACTTCACTCCTACGCTGCCAGGTCTTCATGAGAAACAGGCCCATCCTGAGACTCTGGGGAGCTTTCAGAGGCGCTACTTAAAAAGCTAGTCAGTTGTTGATTTAGAGCTGGAAAGGATTGTCCCTCCCCCTCATTCTACAGATGCATAAACTGAGGGAGGCCCAATGAGATGAGGTGTTTTGCCCATAGTCATATAGGCAATAAATAAGTGGCACAGCCAGGATTTGATTCCAGGTCTTCTGATTCCAAATACATTGTGCCATGATACCACCCCAACAATCTGGGAACTTTCTAGAGTTTCCTTTTTAAAAAACATTCCAGATTCCCAAGGGAGATGTTCAAGAAACCTCTAAAATCAAGGAGTGGTGGTAAAGGCATGGTGATGGAGTTGGAAGATCAGGGTCTGAGTTCCAGCTCTGACATTATATTTTTTTTTTACTCTGCAAAAGTTTTCTCAGCTGTAAAATGAGGATAAAAATATTCCTCCCACCTGCTTTATGAGTTTGTTGGGAGAAAAGAACATGTCAAAGTGTTACAGAAGTAGGAGTTATTCTCCTCCTCCTCATTATTGTTACCATTCTCATTATTACTGTTACTACTACTGCCCACTTCTTCCATCAATGAAAGCTCTAAGGATGAAATGGTCATTTGCAGCCCAAGCATAGGAGGAAAAGGAGGAAACTCTGGATTAAAGATGGTGTTCTCGCTGGCAATGGCAAGGTGGATGGGGGCTCACCTGAGGGTAGACCTGGATTGACCGTTCAATGAAGTCGTGCACACTGGCCTTCATGCTATGTTCCACCTCCAGGAGCCAGTCTTCCACGTTGCCAGTGGGGTAAAGGGAAAAGGAGAGCTCCACCTCCTCCCCTTCGGCAGAGTACATGTGGGTGATCTTCAGGTCTTCCTGGAAAAGCAGCTGGTGGGACAGGAAAGGGGAAAAGAAGGTAAGCAGTGATGGTGGCTTCTCCTGTCCCCAGGTCTGGGGAGCCTTGCCCAGGGGACCACGCCTGCTCACCCCACACTTAAGGCTCCTGGCTTCTCTTGGGCGAACCACTGAACCACCAGAGCTCGGTAACAAGGGATGCTGGCTTGGGGCCACTTCTGCCTGTATTTGGCACTAAGGCCTTGACTTCCCAGTTCTGACAGCTTTAATTCCTTACTCAAGAGTTAGACAGGAAATAGAACCCAGGCCTTTTTAGTCTCAAAGCCAGAAGGATGCAAATCACAGGATCAAAAAACCAGGGACTGTTAGAGCTTGGAAGGTCCTCAGGGCTCCTTTTATCCAAAATCCTCAATTTTACAGGTGGAGAAAGAGGCCCAGAGAAAGGAAGTCACCCTTCCAAGTCACACATGCACTAGAGAGTTGCAGAGCAGGGACCAGCCTATGACTCTCTTTTCATACAGAGACAGAGGTAGAAAGGGGGGCGGGGAGGAAGGGGCTCCTCTTCCCTACTAGTACCCCCGATGACTAGGCTTTCCCTTGATCTCAGTACCGTACCACACATTCATGCTATAGGGAGGTGCAGAGGGGTGTTTACTCTGTAGATACCAAAGATTATGTCCTGGCTCCTTCCTGTCTCTTTGGTTCAGGGGCCCAGGGTTCAAATTGCACCTGCTCCCCTCTGCTGCCCCCGCTGTGTGTAAAGGACATGTGGGAGGGGGTCTATTGTCTTTTCTTCTCAACAGGGATGTGCCCCATTTCCAGGCTCTCCTGTGCCATAAAGGATGGGAAGCCTCCAGCTGCCTAAAGAAGGCCTCAGCCCTACTTACCTGAGCAATGTTCTCGAAGCACTTCCGGAGATGAGGCTGCACAGCTGTGGGGTCTTTAGTCTGGGACAAGATCTCCAGCAGTTCATCATCAGATAAGAAGTAGAATCTGAAAAAGAAGGGGCAGAGGCAGAAACAGGGAAGGTCACAGAGGGTCAGCGTCTTAGATTCCTTTGGGGTGAACAGTCAATAATCCAGATCCTCATCACCCTCTAGACCTTCGGTCTCTAGGACAGATCCCTGTTAGAAGCCGGTGTCCTTGAAGGGCCCAAAATGTTCTGGTGGCCCTCAGAGCTGACTTCAGGGAAGCAGGGGATGGACTCCAGCAAACATGGAAGAAGGAAAACCATTCAATAACTGCCTGCTAAGGGGCTCATTTTGATATATTTGACCCCAAAGCCTCAACTCTAAGATACCCAAAGGATTTCTTTTGATTTTTCTGAGATCGTTGCCTTTGGTGACCTGGCACCATTAGGGAAGGGAATCAGGCCTCAGAGAGGATTACTCCTATTTTCCTAGCCCCCAGACCACAGAATACCCCTGAACATCTGTGTCCCTACACCCTATGCTGCTTATGCCACACTTACAACACCTAATGCCACACAACCACCCCAAGGATCTTCTTTAGGTCACTCTAACCCCAACCAGCAGATTGTCTGAGCCCTGAACATCCATAGTGGTCAATCTGATTCTGCTTGATTCAAATTTTTGCTCTCTCCTAACAATGAAGCCAGAAGAAAAGGAACCAGGCTTACCTGGGGAAAGCAGCTCTCTTGGTCTCCAGATACTCGCTCAGGCCTTTCTGAACCATGTCTAAGAGTTTGTTACAGTCTCGAAGGCTGTCTAGTAGCCTTTGATCAGCACATACATTAATTACCTGGAGGTCACAAGCACATGAAAAGCAGAAAGACAGAGGAATAGAATCTGTGGCAAGAGGTTGCCACTGGTCTCAATTACTAAGTAAACAAAAGAGTCCAGGCAGAAGGTAGAGGCCCCCTACGGGGCACAAGGAAAAAAGCTAGATGGTTCCCATCCAGGGGTGGAAGGCAAGGAACAGAGGGATTCAATAACAACTTATTAAATACTAAGCCCTAGGGAAATCCAAAGTCCGACCAGGAGTCACTCAATCTCCTCACTCTGTTATCCTGCATTTGGGAAAGTTGTTGTAAGTGGTCTCTGACACGTCTTCTCATCCCTGGCCTTCTTAGACTCCATGATCAGAGGACACCTCTTAGAAGCTTCTCTATTGTCTCCTGTCACCCCCCAATCCCACCGTTGGGGTCTACCACTCCCCTCAGTACAGTACTGAGATCGAGGTAAAGCCGGATCATAGGAAGTATTAGGAGGAAGCAGGAGCCCCCTTCTCCCCTGCCCCACTTTCTACTTCCTTGGTCAGAATCCATGATCCCCAGCACCCTACCAGCCAAGCCCACCTCTCTATTCTCGTTGGCATTCTTCATGATTTTCCTCCAGAGCCTCTCCATCGTCTGGTAGCGCTTACTTTCCACTGGCAACTGTCTGGTGATATCCTCAGAGCTGAAGATGGGCTCTAGATACAACCAAGACCGCTGGCAGTTGAGCCACTCCTCAAGGACCTCCTAGGGAAAGGAGACAATCATCCACAATCTTTAGTAGCCATACATAGCATCTCTGGTTACTTAGAAATCCTTCCCAAAAGTACTGAACAGAAAACCGTGTTAATCAGCTCTGAACTTAAGAATCAAAATGACATGTGTTTCACTCCTGGCTCTGACACTTACTGACCAGGTATTTCCAAGTTACCTTGGACAAGTCACTTTCCCCTACTGACCTTCAGCTTTCTCAACTGAAAATTGGACATAATAATTTTTAAATGATGATTTTGTTCAGTCACTTTTTAGTCATGTCTGACTCTCTGTGACCCCATTTGGGGTTTTCTTGGCAGAGATAATGCACAGTTTGCTGTTTCCTTCTCCAGCTCATTTTACAGATGAGGAAACTGAGGCAAATAGGGTGAAGTGACTTGCCCAGGGTCACACAGCTAGTAAGAGTCTGAAGCCAGAGTTTAGCTCAGGAATTTGAATCTTCCTGACTCCAGTCCCAGCACTATGACCACTATGCCTCGTTGCTGCCCTTTCAAGATGATAGGAACATTGTATTCAGAAACGGAAGAGAAAAATCCCCCACTGTTGTTGTTCTTGTTGTTGTTCGTCCCTCTCAGCATCACTCGTGAGGAGCCAATGAAATGCTGCTGCCTGTAAAGCATCGCCATTAAAGGGAGACTTCTAGGAAGCTGAAGAAATGAAGTCAGAAGAGAGCCCACCTCTTCAATGGTCCCATCAAAAGTAACAAAAGAAATACAAAAAGAAGTAAAGCCACCAAAACCTCTTGAAATAAAATGGTTCTTAGGAGAAAAAAAAAACACTCAAAGAAAAAAAGTTCTGATACTCTGAAAAAAATAATACGCATTATAAGGAGTCAAAGCCAAAACACCAGAGAGAAAATGTACTGAAAAAGCCCGAAACTAGACTTTCCTACAAACAAAATGAAATGTATAATAAACACACTGAAGAAATTAAAAGTGGAAATGAAATCAGCAAAAATATCACAAAGTGAATTTAAAAAAGGAACTTAATAGATTAACTCAGGAATCTCAAGACAAGATGATGTTGAAGAAACCTGGCAGTTTAGAAACATCTTTGGAAGATATAAGCAAAAAAAACACATTTAATGAAAAGCAAAAGTATTCTACAAGAGAACAGAATGGTAGAAACCACAGAAAAACACAAATGCAAATATTATACAGTTGTCAATAGATTTTTAAGATACATAGATAAAAGTGATGAATCCAGAGCACAGTTCAAGGAGAGAAAATACAACAATTATGACATTTCCCTAAAACTACAAAGTCTAAAATAATCTTACCACTATATTTTAGGAAACCACGTAAGGAAATTTAGTGGAAATATTGAAAAACAAAAATTATATAGCGAATCAATACAATCCACAAGATGCCGACAGGATAGACCCCCTAATTCAATTCCCTCAGGTTCAACATTGGCAAGCTTTAAAAGTATAATAGGGAGCAGATGACTGCATAACAGTCAAGAAGAAAGACACTGTATGTCAAAAACCGCACAAGAGGAATATAAGAGGAAAAGTGAATGATAACGAATGGACCAAAAAATCCTAATGGAGACTCTGAGGCATTGATAGAAAAGTCACTATAAAGTTTTATTCATCAAAAGTTATTAAAATAGATAGTTACTGAGCAACTTTGATTGAATTGATATTAACTATTAAGTTTTAAATAAAACGCTTAATTTTTAAAATTGCAAAAGGTAGAAGTTACACATGATTTTCCTACCAAAACAAGAAATGATGGTTGCTGGGATCTTTTTGTTGTTGCTGTCCAGTTGTTTTCAGTTGTGTCCTACTCTTTGTGACCCCATCTGGGTTTTTCTTGGCAGAGATACTGAAGTGGTTTATCATTTCCGTCTGTGGCTCATTTTACAGATGAGAAAACTGAGGCAAATAGGGTTACATGACTTACCCAGAGTCACACAGCCAGTGAGTATTTAAGAATGGATTGGAACTCAGGTCTTCCTGACATCTGACCCAGTACTCTATCCACTGTGTCACCTAGGTGCCCTACTGGAACATTATATACTTAGAATTAAGAGAGAGAAGGACTTAGTCCCCAAATAAACTTCCCAAAAAAGCTAACTGAATTCATTATCTTTCCTTACAAAGCCTCCCCTCTTCCAAACTGTCAAGGGCACCACCATTTCCCTGGTCACCCAGGCTTGAGAGTGGCAGGGGGAGGGGAGAGTTCAACCTGTGCTCTTCACCCTCTCTCACTCTCATATCCTTCGTTCTCAAAGAGGACCATGACATTAAGGAGATGATGACATGATTTGCAATTGACTTTGATTTGAGTGAGGGAAGGCTGTGCAAGGTCACCAGCCTCACTTCTCCTCCAGAGTCATCTGGGTCCAGTGGCCAGATATCAATCAGGACAACTGGAGATGGTCCAGGATACAATGAGCCCTGGCCCTTTTAATCTAAGGTCTTTTCAGATTTTCACTTTCAGTGAGGTAATGTCCATTCACACTTTCTGCCCAAAGGAAGGTAAATTTTGATGGCTGAAAGCTACCTAGCTAACTTGGTGTTCACTGGCTAGATTTCTTTCTCAAAGACCAAGCCTTAAACCTAATTCACTCTGGATCTCATGGATTGGACAATAATAGGTCCCTGCCCAAGCACCATATAATGTTGGGTTTTTTGGGCCCTCCTGGCTCAGAGGGAATGGAAATAGTAACTGTTTTTCTTTTGGCTAGTAACCCTGAGGGTCTTCCCCTCCCAGTCTGATTTTTTTTTTTTTGGATGGACTTTCATCCATCTCTTGACTCATTTCTTAAAGAGGCCTATTCACTGAATGTGCTTGCCTCACTCAAAATGAGAACCTGAAAAGACATTAGCTTAAAACGGTCAAAGTCTCCCATTGCATCCTGGGCCATCTCCAGTCATCCTGATTGATATCTGGCCACTGGACTCAGATGGCTCTGGAGGAGAAAGAGGCCGGGACTTTGCACAGCCCTCCTTCACTCAAATCCAAGTCAATTGCAAGTCATGTCATCATCTCCCTGATGTCATGGTTCTCTTCAAGAACAAAGGGCAAACCACACAACCGTCATATCATATGGTTAAGTCCTGTTCATTCCTCCTCCTCTGCTCTGACAGCACCACTCCCCTGGTGTAGACCCTCATTACCTTCTGTTGTAGTCGTCGCATCTTGGTCTCCAGGCCTCAAGTCTCTTTCTACTGTAGTCAAGCGTCCGCTCAGCTATCAAATTTATCATCCTAACGTACAACTATGTATGACCATGTCAGACTCCTTCCCCTGCCCCCAATCTATAACCAAGACACGCCATCTCTGGCTCTGGGCATGGTCACTGGCTGTCCTCCATGCCTGCAATGTCCTTCCTCTTCATCTCCACCTCTTGCCTTCCTTGGCTTCCTTCAGGCCCCAACTAAAATCCCACCTTCTGTGAGAACTTTTTCTGATCCCTTTTAATGTTAGTTCCTCCCTTCTGTTGATTAATCCAATTTATCTTGTATATGGTTTGTTCGTACAAAGGTGTTCACCTGTGGTCTTCCCCATTAGACTGTGAGTTCCTTAAGAGCAGAACTGTCACCTTTCTTTGCATCTCTAGCACTTAGGACAATGCCTGGCATAGAGTAGGTGTTTTATTGACTAAAGTGAGAAAATTAATCCTTTAAAAATGTATATGGATAAATAAAACTTTTAAAAATTATACAGCGGAAAAAACCTTTGAAGTGAGAAGGGGACACAAAACTTAAGAGCAATTGTTACTACCTTGCTCATATATAGATACAGATAAATAGATATACTCATATAATTTTGTATAAATATATAATATACAATTTAATATATATCATTTTTAAAAGCTATAAATAATAGAAGTCAACAGTTTCTTGTTCTTTTTCTTATTCTTGGTATATTAAAATACTTGTGTTTGTTGATAACTGTTAAATTCACAAAGTAAAAGAAAAAACTTTTAAAGAAATTTATAGCAGGAAGAGCCAACTTCAAAAGAGCTTTTCTCATGTAAAACTAACAAGAACACAGAGCCAAGGCTGCACTTTCAAGTAAGCATTCTATTCAATAGCTATTTTATAACTGTGATCAGTTACTATCTAAATGCAGTCATTGTAGGGGGATTAAAAACAATAGTGGTGTTGTTTTGGTTAACAAGTGAATGATACAAAACTTATAAAGTTAATAGTAGAAAAAGATATGAATTATGTTTAGTGGTTTGTGTTTGCTTTCCCATTGGAAAAGGATTATTTTAGTGAAATAAGGAAGATTATGTTGTTAACAAAGCATGATAAACCAAATTTTAATAATTAAATTTATTGATTTATACAATGAACCTTACAACATATTTTACATCTTAAAAAATTTTAATATGTCCATTTGCTGCAGTTCCTTATTTTATATGATTTGGCACTGAACTCACAAGGTTTTGATAAACATTCTTTAATTTATCAAAAAGCACACTTAAAACATAGGACATTAAGTATATCTTTAAGGAAAGTCCACTTTTCCAAGTCTAACCTCAGTTATAGCCCATAGGGTTTTTTAAATTAACAATTTTTATTTTAAACTTATAGTAGCTAGGTGACACAGTGGATAGAACACTAGACCTGGAGATAGGAAGAATCAAATTTCTGAGTTCAAATCTGGCCTCAGACACTTACTAGCTATGTGACCCTGAGCAAGTCACCTAACCCTGTTTGCCTCAGTTTCCTCATCTGTAAAATGATCTAGAGAAAAAAAAATGGAAAACCACTTCTGTAACTTTACCAAAAAAAACCCAAAAAGGGTCACAAAGAGTCAGACATGACTGAAAAATGACTGAATGTTCTGAACTTAACAACCCTCCCCCCAAAATGAGCATTTCACATATATATATAACAGAAAAAGAGATGAAACTGTATATTTCTTTTACATACAGCTTGCTTCTTTTAAAATACATAATACATTCAACATGTAACTTTAAAGCTGTCTGAGGACATCGCATCAAACAAATAT